CCCTTGAATGTGTGTGGGGGGATGTCAGCTTGTCGGCATGAGATACATGTAGGAATAAGTGGGTTTCGTGTAAAGACCGAGCTCAGCTTTGCCAACAATCAGTGGATCCTCGAGATGTTGTTCCAAGAAAATCTTTTTAGAATTGGATATTTCTACAGCGAATTTACTAGTAATTGATCGGTGGAAGGAAGATGGCAAACGAAATAAATGCCTCGGGTGTCTCGCGGGACACCATCCATTTCATCTATATAATCAATGAAACATAACCACATCAGGGGCCTAAACGGTGCCTGAAGTAACAAGTTACGTTCAAGTCTGCCCATGAAAATATTGGCAGAAGACGGGGTCATTTAAGTGCCCAGAGCTTTGCCATTGACTTGCAGGTAATGTTCTCCATTAAACATGATGATATAATTTATTATAATTGAGAACATGTTCAAGGAGCTTGGCGAGGGGCTCAGTAGAAGGAATTTGTATAGATCTACTGTCTCAGACTTCTCTTAAGACCTCAATACTCTCAATTATGTAAACTGCACTTTACCAGAGTACAGACCAGACGTATTTCACAGAGGTCCAGAATTGTTTCAAATCATTTTTTTGCTCTCGGTGCAACGCAGTCAAAATTTAGCTTTATTTTTAGAAAGGATAAAATAACCTTCTTTGTCCTATTGATTTGCAAAAGTTTAATTTCATATTGTAGTGAAGTAAAACTGCTAGCGCTGTTATTTATTGACCGTATCGTTTTCAGTGGATACGTGTTCTCGTGGGCTTTTTAAAAAAGATGAAGATAAGACCATCTTTAAAAAAAAAAACTGGTTGGTTGCCCTCTCCCGACCGACTGGCTACAAATGTCTCGAGTCAAATCTAAAAATGTATCCAGGCAAACAAATTCAAAGAAATGTGGTCCCCCGCTTTGATGGGATGCCATTGTTTATGGCATATTGTGTAAAATATGAACGCCCTATCATATGTCATTCAAAAGTAATTACCAAAGTTAAACATTTTTTGAAAATTAGGTCAAACATCAAGGTCAAGGGGTCAAAAATCATAATATGCTCGGAGACATCTTGTCACAGATAATACACATGTCAAAAAGATGACATTTTGAAAAGTAGGTCAAATTCAAGGTCAAGGTTACAGGGTCAAAATTCATAGTATATTTAGAAAGGCCTTGTCACAGGTAATATACATATTTAACATGAAAGCCCTATCTTTTTTCTTTCAAAAGTTATGACCAATTTAAAGTAATGTTTAAATTTTTGAAAAGTAGTTCAAACTTCAAGGTCACAGGGACAAAAATCATAGTATATTTGGAAAGGTCTTCTCACAGGTAATGTACATGTGAAATATGAAAGCCCTCTCTCTTCTCATTCAAAAGTTATCACCAAGGTAAAAGTTTTTGTGACAGACTGACAGACGAATGAAATTTAATGTCCCCTCGTGGGGGACAAAAATTGAAAACCGAGCAGCAAAGGATGAGGGCGCATTTGATTAGATTCGGCAGGAATCTTGTTGCATTTGAAAAAGTGAACATTTCATTGATCCGTCAAACGATATTCTCGAATTCTACTGAAATATCGGAATTCTATTATATAGGAAAGGGAAAGGGAAATATTTTCCCGTTTTTTTTTGCATTTTGGTTTGCTAAAAAAAAATATGCCATGAAATATTGCTAGAGGAGTCATTTGGCACAAAATGGTACAATTTTAAACACATTTTTCTAAAATTTTCAATTTCAAAGTCATCTCTCCACGATTTTGTGTGCATTTTAACTCAAAGAAATGAGCAGTCTTTTTTTAATGGAGAGAAGACCCAGGAACTATAATAACAAGAGGCCCAATGGCCTTAACGGTCACCTGAGTACAATATAACAATTTAGAGGATCCATAAACTGATAAATGAAGCTTTAAATGTTGCCAAAAAGCAAGAAAAATAGTATGATAAGCATCAACAGAATAATTGGTATAGCATCTATCTGTCCCCCATTTAACACTATTACCATGCAGACTATTAACAAAATGTCTATTTTTAATCCCAAATTACTACTTCTCACATTGGTCTCTGATAAAAATACCCTTGCATACTAAAACTTTTACTCTGTTTGCCTCGAATATGCCCAGAAGCATAGAAGATTTTCAAAAAAATGCATGTTCACTATATAATTAAATAAATAAAAGCCCCCCCCCCCCCCCACACCAGAACATCTTACCCAGGAGCCATGAACTCACAATTCTGGAAGAAGAACTTTGCTTTATTACCAGTAGTAGAAAAAATATTTTGAAAGAAATTATGCATTTTCACTATAAAATCAATAGAGCCCCCCCCCCCCCCTTCACCAGAACCCTGACCCAGGGGCCATGATTTTCACAATTTTGGAAGAGGCATTCTTCCTTATCATAACTATGCACTTTCTTTATTTGAATAATACCCAGGAGCAGAGAAGATTTTGAAAGAATTTATGCATTTTCCCTATATAATCAATAGAGCCCCGCCCTAACAGCAGAACCCTTCACCCAGGGGCCACGAAATTCACAATTTCTGAGGAAGCAGCCATGCTCATCATAACTATGTACTTAGTTTATTTAATATCCAGGAGAGAGAAGATTTTCAAAGAAATAATGCATTTTCACTATATATATCAATTGAGCCCCACCCTGACACCAACACCCCGACCCAGGGGCCATGAAATTCACAATTTTGGAAGAGGCAACCATGCTCATCATAACTATGCACTAAGTTAGTTTATTTAATACCCAGGAACAGAGAAGAAGATTTTCAAAGAATTAATGCAAATAATCAATAGAGCCCCACTCTAACACCTGAACCCCTGATCCTGGGGCCATGAAATTCACAATTCCTGAAAAGGCAGCCATGCTCATCATATCTATGTTCTTAGTTAGTTTATTTAATACCCAGGAGCAGAAAAGAAAAGATTTTCAAGGAATTAATGTATTTTCACTATATAATCAATAGAGCCCCACCCTAACACCAGAACCCCTGACCCTGGGGCCATGAAATTCACAATTTTGGAAGAGGCACACTTGCTCATCATAACTTTGTACTTAGTTACTTAATTTAATACCCAGGAGCAGAGAAGAAGATTTTCAAAGAATTAATGCATTTTCACTATATAGTCAATAGAGCCCCGCCCTAACACCAGAACCCCTCACCCTGGGGCCATGAATTTCACAATTTTGGAAGAGGCACTCTTGCTCATCATAACTATGTACTTAGTTACTTTATTTAATACCCAGAAGCAGAGAAGAAGATTTTCAAAGAATAAATGCATTTTCACTATATAATCAATAGAACCCCACCCTAACACCAGAACTCCTGACCCTGGGGCCATGAAATTCACAATTTTGGAAGAGGCACTCTTGCTCATCATAACTATATACTTGGTTAGTTTATTTAATACCCAGGAGCAGAGAAGAAGATTTTCAAAGAATTAATGCATTTTCACTATATTATCAATAGAGCCCCACCCTAACACCAGAACTACTGATCCTGGGGCCATGAAATTCACAATTTTGGAAGAGGCACTCTTGCTCATCATAACTATATACTTGGTTAGTTTATTTAATACTCAGGAACAGAGAAGAAGATTTTCAAAGAATTAATGCATTTTCACTGTATAATCAATAGAGCACCGCCCTAACACCAGAACCCCTGACCCTGGGGCCATGAAATTCACAATTTTGGAAGAGGCACACTTGCTCATCATAACTATGTACTTAGTTACTTTATCTAATACCCAGGAGCAGAGAAGAAGATTTTCAAAGAATTAATGCATTTTCACTATATAGTCAATAGAGCCCTGCCCTAACACCAGAACCCCTGACCCTGGGGCCATGAAATTCACAATTTTGGAAGAGGCACTCTTGCTCATCATAACTATGTACTTAGTTACTTTATTTAATACCCAGGAGCAGAGAAGAAGATTTTCAAAGAATTAATGCATTTTCACTATATAATCAATAGAGTCCCACCCTAACACCAGAACTCCTGACCCTGGGGCCATGAAATTCACAATTTTGGAAGAGGCACTCTTGCTCATCATAACTATATACTTGGTTAGTTTATTTAATACCCAGGAACAGAGAAGAAGATTTTCAAAGAATTAATGCATTTTCACTATATAATCAATAGAGCACCGCCCTAACACCAGAACCCCTGACCCTGGGGCCATGAAATTCACAATTTTGGAAGAGGTACTCTTGCCCTTCATAACTATGTACTTAATTTGTTTATTTGATACCCAGGAGCAGAGAAGAAGATTTTCAAAGAAATAATGCACTTTCACTATATGATCTATATAGCCCCACCCTAGCACCAGAGCCCCTGACCCTGGGGCCATGAATTTCACAATTTTGGTAGAGGGTTCAATGCTTATTACAATCATGCCAACAGTTTGACTGCTTGATGTCCAGGAGTAAAGAAGAAGTTTTTTAAAGATTGCATTAATTTTGGTGGTTTTAGCCCCACCCCTCAGGCCCCAGGGGGGCAGGGACCATGAAATTCACAATTTTTGTTCCCCTTCACCCATAGATGCTATATACTAAATTTGCTTGAAATTGGTTCAGCAGTTCTGGAGAAGAAGCTAAAAATGTTCAAAAGTTAACACACGACGGACGACGCACGCCGACGGACAAAAACGGATAGCAATAGGTCACCTGAGTGACTCAGATGACCTAACAAATACCCCCCCCCCCCCCCAAAAAATCCCATTTTGTAAATGCACTGCTTCATCGTTGTTTTAAATTCACATTCAGCATGTTGCATCTATAACACAGTTGTGTATGTTACAAGTCCATAATGGTGAGGAACTGATAAGCTTTGGTTCGATCCACACATGGAGCTTTTTTTTTTAAAAAACAAACAAGTAGTTTGTCAGTTTGTAAATTATCTCCACATTTGCACAATATGAATTATGCATTGTACATATATAGTTGGTAAATTAATGCTGAATGTTAATTTACAAAAATAACATAAAAACAATGTAAAAAGCTACAATATTGCAATTTAATGAATAATCATAATGAGAAAATATGCATATAAAAATATCAGTTGTTAAAAAAATAACAGATCTTTATATTAGAATAACAAGTTGATAAGTCATGGTGATATATGATGCAATGTCATGTACCACAGATTATAAACTGAGAGAGAAAAAAATTGCCATTGACCAAGGGAATGTACAGCATGGCACACACTGCCTTCCTAACAGCAAAATAAAATCTAGAAATGGAATTTTTTTTATTGATTGATTTACTGTTTTAAAGCAGTTAACTTCTTCTCTACAATGTACAGTTATAAAATTTCAAATAGGTTTCATTTCTGATTTTTGTTGAATTTTAGCTCTTAAATACATCATTGTATAGCCCTGTGGATTTCACTTGAATTATACAAGTGAGATTTGAGACATTATTCCTTAGGAATTCATGTATCATATAAAGCATTCACTCAAAAAAAAAAAAAATTTAAAAGTTCATATCCTAGCATACAACTGTAACACTGTCTTGCTTGCTTACTATATATTTTTTTCTATTAAAATATTTTATACTAACAATTGAGAATAAACTTCACAATGTTTGAACAAAAGTAAAAAAAAAGTCTCCCTATGAAGTTTGAGGTAAACTCCAATAAAATTCTCATTTACTTTGATTAAGAATATAATACGCTTTTGGTTTATCCCGAGAAAAGTGATTTCAAAATTCATTTTGAGGGACGGAGAAAAATGCATAGAGGTGTTGAACAATGGATCTAGCCTTGATATAAAATAGATTTCCTCACAAGCACCAGTTGTTGATTGATAACAAGAAACTTCATAGAATAAAACAAATAATAACAATTATGACCTCTCCAACAATAACAAGACTTGTAAAATATATCAACAATACAATGTTCAAAGCTGAACAATGTTGTATCTACAAGAACAACTTTTCCAAAGTTTAATTCTTAAATTAAAAACAAATTCTAATTCAAGTTTTTGAGCTCAGTTCAAAGAGATATTTTTATATAATAATATTTGCTTTATAATCTTGCTGGTAATCTACTTTCATTTTCAATTTCTGAGATATGTACAAGTACACTGCCTACAAATACAGAAATCTTTTCAAAGTAATTTTCTTCTTTCTCGAATTAAAAGTTTGCTACATTGTGGATAAGATAATAAAACTGATATATATGTAACTGAGAAAAGCTAGCATTATACATGTAACAGACAGACTACAAAAAAAAATATTATCGATAAAAGTTTGATACACCCAAATCACATGTATATCACTTAAAACAATGCCAATGAACATGGTATTGACATCTGTTTTATTCTGCATAGTCTTTTATAATGTATTTTTAATCCTGAAGAGAATCGGAGATCAGACAGTATTGGTCATGTTCAAGTCACTAATCCAGGATTTAATAAAGTCATTTTAAAAGTTTCCTACTAAATACTACAAAAGGCTTACTGATCATCAGATTTTTTTAAACTAGCATTTACTTTTCTAAAACATGAATATCACTTAAACAAGTTTCCAAGAGTTGCTTGCCCTTTTAATTCCATGGTTAGAAAGAAGTCCATTCATACCTTCCACATTACATGCCATTACCTACTGGAGATGTGTCTTCCTTCACCAGTCAGATTGTGGATATCGAAAGGCTACATACATATCACATCTTTTCTATGTAATTGGCAGGAAACAGTCCCTCCTTACCTCGTAATCGGCCCCTCCACCAACCTGCAGGATCTAATAATAAAAACAGATACTCTATGAATGAACAATTTCTAAAACGAGGTAAGTTATTGACAAACAAATTGATGAAATAGGAATATCAACAGTCTCGTTTAAAGACATCATTTCGTAATATCTAATAATACAAACAGATACTGATAAAAAAAGGCATCATAACATAGCTAGTTCTGTCTAGGATTTACTGAATGAATTTAATAGATACCCAAGTTATCTGTAAAACATGGGTTGGGACAGTTTACACTTTATAAACCAAGAAGTAATTTATAAAATTGTAAACTGTTCTAACCCTGGTTATAACTTCGGTAGTTATCAAATTTACTCCTTATACACGTAATTTAATTTTCTAAAGCAATGTAAAAAAACCATTTTCCCCTCAAAATGACTTCACATTGTATAAAATTTAAATGCAACGTCAAGCAGATTGATGCATTTTTGACTTCAGTCATATTGTGACGTACAAGTTATATGATGTAAACTAATTTTTTCAGCCAATCAGATTGTGCATTATTATCAAACGGGGATTTATTGACCTTTTTTGGTACCGATTCCTGTACCCTTTCAACTGGGGATTCGAGATTCAATAAAGTAGCAACATTCTGAAATACTGATGACATACATGTACATGAATGATGTATTGCAGCAGTAGCTGTAAAATAAATCCCCTTTATTGTAAGCTTATCCTCTATTTTAATCTAAATGAACCTGTATAATCTCAAAATTTATAATTTCTTTTATAAAAACACTGAAATATTAATCTGCTTTTAATGTGGGAATGTTTCCTTCATTTTGGGACACAAGATGCCCATGGGCTGCAACACTCACTTGAGTCAATGTGGTCCTGTTGTTCTTCATTAGCAATTTTTTTTCTGTTATATATGTGTATATTCCTAGGTTAAACTTTGATCCCTGTTGTGACCCCAACCTACCCCCAGATGTCATGATTTGAACAAACTTGAATTTACACTATCTGAGGATGCTTCCATATTTATACGACTAATCATGGCTTTGCTGTTCTTGGGAAGATTTTTAAAGATGTGACCCCATCCTACCTCTGGGGGGTTATGATTTGAACAAACTTGAACTACACACCCTGATAATACTTCCATATCAATATGAGTAATTCAGGATTTGCTGTTCTTCAGAACATTTTAAAAGATATTTTTCCTGTATATCCATTTGTAAAACTCTGATAATCCATTGTGCCCCCCTCCCTCCAGGCTCATGATTGTAACAAGCTTTAATCTGCGATACCTGAGGATGCTTCCACATCAATATGACTAATCCAGACTTTGTTCTTGAGAAGGAGATTTTTAGACTTTTTACTAAATATCCTATGTCAAACTTTGATCCCCCATTTTGGCCCCATCCTAATCCTGGGAATTTATACTATGTAATAAAGGTTTCACATTATTTTCAACTGTTTTGGCCCAGTGGTCTTTGAGCTTTAAACTCAGGTGAAGTTAACTTTCAATTTGGACACAATCCTTTTACCAGACCTGCATGCAGTGGATACTAAGCCTTGTGAAATCAATATTAAATGAAATTTATAAAAGCTTACAATAGTTTTTTTTTATTTATTGAAAAGAGTGTTTGCTTTGTCTCAAACTGAAAATTAATTTTAGAAATTTGATCCTCTTCAAGAATATTGCCTATTTTGTTACAAAAATCATTTAATAAAGTAAACAGCATATAACTTCTGGAAAACAATGCAAGCTTATACCGACTTCCTGATTTGACAGATAAAATATAGCAACAACAGAATATCTAACAGAATATAGAATGTATTTGACAAAATGAACATTTATTTACCAGTCAAATACATGTATGTATCTGTCATTGTGACACAAAGCCTTGTAAACCTACCCTCTTTGAGGATTTCAATGGTATCTCCCTCATTGAAGCTAAGCTCATCTGTGTCCTGAGCATCATAAGCATAAAGACAACGACATTTAGGTAGACTAGGTTTGGGTTTCTGGGGTGGGGGTTTGGGTCTACCTGCCCCTGGGGGTGGAGGCTTTCCCCCAGACTTCCTCCTCTGGACTCTGAAAGATGAAACACCAGAAATCAAATTATTTTATCTAACATCAAATATACTGTTGTAAAAGAGACTTATTTCAAAAGAAATTGAATAAATAAACTAATATGCTTTAAGTTTTCAATACAGTGGCGCCTCGTTAATCCGGACGCCTCCGTCCCCAACAAAATCGTCTGGATAAGTGAATCACTTCTTAAAAAGACGTACCCTCTCAAAACATGTACATATGAACATAGTGGTATCAAATGTGAAGGCAAAGAAAACACCTTTATTTTACCTTGACTTATTGATTTTATTTTTATAGTTTTAAAAGCAATAATTAATATTTAAAAAAAACTTCTTTTTCTAACACAAGAAACTTTACTCGCCTTCTATTTGACGTGTAGTTACATGGGCTGACCAAATTTTGATCTGCTACTGTTTTATTTCGGCACATTTTTTTAAATTTATTCAAGCTCATATTAAGTAGAACTGTTCATTATCACCATTGAGAATGTTCAAATGACTAACCGCGTATATTCACTACATAGGGAAATAAGTAACTAAACAATGTAATCAGTGTACATATTGCAAATATTCAACGCAAACACAAGCCATATTCAGGATTATCAATACTTTTTCTAAAAACTCTAAGTTATATACCTTGAAAAAACGTGATCGGCATTTATAACTAATGCCAGTTACGTATTTCTTAGCGCATTAAATAGAAATATATTTTCTTGAATTATGTATCATAATAAATAGTCTTATGAAAAAAAAAAACCGTTTCAAATGATGTACGTTTTGAGAATTGGAAAATCGTATTTTGATAAACTTACGCATCTCAATACTACAACGAAATCTCGTGATTTATTATTCAGTAAAAAAAAAATTATTTACAACTCTCCAAAATTCTCATAAATTTATAAACCGTTAGCAATTTATTGTATTCTGAACGGATTTATATTTAATTAATGCACAGTATAAGCTAAATTCTTCGGGCTTTATGATATAAAAGACGTGTGTTTTATCTGAGGTAAACACACGCTAATTATAGACGCTATTGTTTAGAGGTCACAGGTAACCGCCTTCAAACTGACTCCACGGACAATGTTTTTACAATAATTATCACTACTGCAAGAAAGGTGTGAAAAGTCGTTCCTCGAAAAATTACCGTCCGGATAAACGAGTCATTTTTCTATGAAATTTTACGTTTTGTAGTAGAAATTGACCGTCCGGATCCGGAACGTGAATTTCCGGATTAATGAGACAGAATAATGTGGAAAAAATCGGTTCCCAGAAAATATCGTCCGGAAGGTGAAGCGTCCGGATTATTGGCGTCCGGATTACTGGTGTCTGGATTACCGCGGCGCCACTGTACATGCAAACAAAATATAATAATAATTTAAATATAACAAAAACGTTAAAGCATTGTTATTTTTCATGCCAACTAATAAGCAGTGACAACCTAGCAAATATGCTACTCAGCAATTGATAAGAAAAATGAAGGTTGTCAGTGGCAAAACTGTACATGTATCTGTGCTGACCACGTTAAGATGAGAACAATATAATTCAAGTCAAATGGTTTTCCATCCCCCACCTCCCAACAGCAATTTCAAGCAATCTCTTTGAAGTGCAAAAACAAACAACCATTGGCAAATTCAAATATTGTGTCCTTATCTTACAACAGAAATCACATCCTTTAAATTATTTGACCAAAATGGAATCCCATAATATCAATCCATGATGTATATAAAACAACAAAATTCAAATTTATTTGCAAGTTCCCCTGCAAGACCTAAATAAATATCTATATTCATTAAAAGAACGAGGTAAACAAACCCTATTTTTTCCTGACCTGCCAGGGATAGAACGTTACTGAAAAGGAAGTAGTTTGTAGGATTGTTAAGCTGAATGTTAGCAATAAAAAGATTGATTATTTCACACAGTACACAGTATTAATTTTCACAACTCTTGTGTAAGATAGAGAGGTGTTGCTACTACGTGCACATCTGACATTATATTCACTCAGAGTTAATAATTCAAAATTTTACCTCCACTTCAAAAATTAAAAAAAAATCTAATTTAAACTATGAATTATTGTTAATGTTTATAATAAAATTCATTTGGGTGCATCATTAAGGTTTACCTTTTAAAGCTTTCAAATCTGAATTTTTCATGAAACCCATACTGTGATACATGCAACTATTTAGAAGAGCTTTCTACTGAATGTGAATGTGATCTATTAATTTGCAGTAAAACAGCTTTATAATGTAGGTGTCTGTATTTGTGTGACTGTATTTTTCTCAGTTTGCCAAGCATATTCTAAAAAAAAGCATGAAGTCTAATCAAGAATGTCTGCCTCCTTTATACTCTAAATCAACTACTGAAGAACCCTTGTTGTGTGAAGTATATAAACTCATTTAAAAATATCCAGTATGTTCACTGTAATCATCAAAATAATAAATTTAAAAAACAAACAAACAAACAAAAAAATCTAACAACAAAAAAAAGAAAAGAAAAAGAACAGGTGAGCAACATAAAAATATACTTCTTTGTTAATACTTTAACAAAAAAAAAGTTCATTAATTTTTGAATGACATTAATTTGTACAGTGGGGTGCAGAAACTGGTTTCCTTAAAACCATGCAACAAACACACAACTTACTGTGACGTCATTCTTTCCTGGTCTAACTTGGCTAAAATTCTACAGAACAACGGAACCATTGTTATTAGTGTTTTAGTGTTATATTCCTTCAGCAGGGGGAGATAAGTATGTTATTTCTGCTCAGTCTCTCTAGGTGAATATTTATATTTGTTCTATCATCCTTTCACCATCTATTGGGGAACTTTGGTATAAAATTATACTGAGTGATGACTATTGAATGAATTGAGAACATTGCTTATCAAAACAGATTTTTTTTATTTTTAAAAGAAATTGACTTCTTCATGTTTTAGTGAGTCTGGAGCTGTTAGGCTTATTATTTAAGTGTTACGTGTGAGGTAAACAGCTTTAAATGGTAGATCTCACAGAGTCTCCAATAATACAACTGTGCTTACTAAAACATCAGACCTTCAACTTCCAAATACATGTACGTTACCGAGTATCTAATTTGTTCAGGAAGCGTCATGCAGTATGTCTTCTCACAAACTTACCCTGCCTGGCCAGCTTCTGGTGTGGCCATGAAGTTATTGTTTATTGGGGCATTCTTCTTACTCCTCCGTAGAACCTGTTGGAATCCACCCTGAGGCAGTGAGGGGGCATGGTCACTATTAAGGCGAGATCGCCGCTTTCCTCCTGATAATGAGAAATCAATCAACATTGTAAGCATTAATTTAACATTATACAACAAGAAATCATTATGGTTAAATTGTGAAATATTGTACATGTATGTATAATTCAATAAAGCATAATCCACAAAAGATGAATGTGTTCAATTTATCAACAGACTAGGTTAAATGTCAGAAGTATACTCCAAAGGGTATGTGTAATTTAACCATCTACTCCTTCATGCTACACATGAAATTTAATTGTCCCTCTCTTTGAAGTTTGAAATACAGTACATACATGACAGTCAAATAAGTGACAAAAATTGTCAGCCCCAGCATCATAATGGTGAAATATTGCCAATTCAAAGCAAAGCATTAACATCAACACATTCAAGGCTTAAAATTGTACCTATACATGTACAGTAAAACATACAGTGAAGTGCAAGAGATGAACAAATTTGATTCATTATAAAATTAATTTGTTAATTATAACAGATAATTTCATGATACTTTTTAAACCTACAGGTAATGAAAATCACTCTGCTACACTGTAGATTCCTTATTTTACACAAGTACTTAATATTGCCAAATGACTCTCAGACATAAAATTTCCTGAACTTTTATATGATAAATGCAAGTAATTTTATTTCATGACTTAGTGCTTCTTGCAGACTTACTCAATAAAAAATTCCATGCAAGAATCATCTAAAAATCTCACCAGAATTACCTGTGTTTGCAATGCAGAATTAACTTACCTCCCATATGTGGTGGTTCTGACCCTGGTATGGCTGGTGGAGCAAAGTTTGGTGGAGGTCTGGTAGGGGCAGGCCTTGAGGGGGGTCCTCTTTGTGACCCCGCCCTTCTAGATCTCATGCTGCCATTACTGACTGCCATCTTTGTCTTCCCAGGACCTACATACAAATTAAATGGAATAATCAAACATACACACATCTGTTCATTTTCCTATTTAAAGGAGATGATTCCTGGAGTTACTTTTGCTCTGTTTATTGAGAAAATTTCATTATAAATCAATGGCACCCACATTATTCTTTAAAAAAAAATGTGGTGTCAAAATAATCGGACTTGATGCAAAATCTGAGATTATGGAACTTCATAAAAGTTACACACTTTGCTAATTAATCCTGGCCTATGTATGGTCATGTGTTCTCTATAAATGATAAGAGGGTAGCTGTAGCTGTAGCTGAGTACAGAATAACTGTGGTCCTACACCCTGGATAGTTTGATGGTGTCTAAATGAGTAGCTACTTGCATGTTCTTGGGTAATCTGGATTGTTTTTCCCTGATGGACTGAGCATGGTCATAATTACTTATGCATCGCCAACTTCTTGGGTTATCTATGCCTCAAGGACTGGTGGTTTCCCTGACAGATTGAGCATGCTTATAACACTATATACTTATGCGAGTGCTTGGAAAATCCTGGCCTTCTAGAAACACTTAGCATTTTCCCTGATAGACTGAGAATAGCTATAACACTAGTTATAATAATATACCCAATGGTGTAACACTAGAGGGATATATAATAAATTTATCATTATAACAGTAACTTTATACAAAGAGCTGTATCACGTTTTGTTGATAGGTGCCTATCATTATGAGAGAATGACAATGGCTTTAACACTAGTTACTTACGCGAGTCCTTGGGTAATCCTGGCCTTAGAGACTGACAATGGCTATAACACTAGTTACTTACGCGAGTCCTTGGGTAATCCTGGACCTATGGAAACAGTCAGTGTTTTCCCTGATGGTTTAAGGATGGCTATATCACTTGGTTGGGGTAGCCTCTGGAACTTTATCACCCTAGTTCCACCTCCTCCCCATCCTTCTTTCTTAACAGGGAACTCAATTCTAAAACAACATTATCTTATATTATTCTCAATATTTTTAAAAATAATACATTCATATTGAAGGGAAGACTACAGTAACTGTATTTTTTTCATGATAATCCAATATTCCTTTTCTCTATGAGAATTTTTAGAATGCAAAATACTATAAAAGCAGAAATATTCATTGGGGATTAATTTTTGTATGACTATATATCAAATATGGTTGATTTTGAAACGACAGAATTTAATGTCCTCAAAACCTTTGTAGATGACAAGTCATAAAATTTTATCCCCCCAAAAATTTGTGCTTCTACAGTAATAAATGTGTACAAAATTGTCATCAGTTGTTTATCATGTAGATTACAAAGACAAATCTAATAAACCACTGGAAGAATCGCAAAAATAGACCTAAGCAAAATAAATGTAACAGCCTTTTGGAATATTTTTGAAAAAATTGTGATACAAAGAAAAAACTATAAGATATTATTTCTACATCAAGGGTGATGTGATTTTAGCTGAGAATTTATTATATAAATGTTAATACATCACCTTGTTGGTATACAACTGCAGTATACTATTAATTTTTACTTTTATTCCCAACTACTTCATATGTTGCCATAAAAGAGGTATTTACTCATTTACTAATGGATCAAGAACCACAAAAAATACTTACACATCTGAAAAACTTATTGGGAGCTCTCTGTTTGTTTTCTCCTTGTATCTCTTTTTCAAGGTCATGAGAAATTCTGTTTTAAACATGGACTCTAACATGCTGCTGAAGTCATTTTCTATATGTATCACAAATATATCATCCTGGAAAGGACTGGAATCATAAAATACAAGAGCTGTAATTAATAATCCTGCATCTTAAAGTATCTCAAACTCAAGGGGGCCGGAAAAAAAAACTTCAAGATATCCAAGGATTCAAGACATTGAGGGTAAAATACTGAAAGAATAAGTGTTTGGGACTTCCAAATAAGATTTGACACATCCATGGTATTCGAGATATCAGTGTTTGAGCTAAAGAAGTTTAACTGTATGTCTGTGTCTGTCAAATTTATATACCATTAGCTACCATTTAGATAAGTTTTTGCTTTCTAGAATGTACCAGCCATTATGAATTTAAAGACATACAAAAAACTTTTGACCTGGAATACACATTGATTTTTTTAATTCAATTTTATTTCATTTTATTTATTTATTATTATTTTTTTTTTTTTTTTGGTTTTTAAAGAATATAAAATTTCAATTTATTTAGAATGCAGACAGAATTAAACAGATTTTTAAGATTAACAGATGTTACACTTGGTCTACATATTAACAAAATACATGTTCTTTTTAAGTAGAATTTTTCCTTAAATTATCCTTCATGCCTAAAATTGAAAAAATAAAAACTTGTCCAAATTCCATAAATAGCAAAGTTGTATGTTCATAATTAAAGACCCAATAGAAAGGCAGTGAGAACATAATCAAAAAGAAGGGAAATTACTCTTTCACAAGACATGGTACTGTTGGATATTTCAAGCACATTGAGTGAAATATCAGAATTTAGCTACCATTAATCTTTTTAAATATCAGTAGTATGTCTCCCATAGCATCACTCACCTTAAGCACACCTGTTTTATACTTTCTAGTGGAATGTCACGTTTTAGAACCTCTATCATTTTCCCCTTGTCTGGACCTTTTTTTACCTAAGAAAAATGTTCAAGGCCTACATTTCATCCAAAATGTAAGAAGCAACAACTTTGAAAAGAATATGTCTTATTTTTCCTTCTCATTTTTAACAAAAATTATTCAATTTTTTTAAAACATGTCAAAGTCTGAAAGCAACAATTCATTCAAAAGCAGCAATCGATACAAATAACTATAATTGAAGAAAACATTCTCAAATCTTTCATCTCGACTTACTATTTCCCTTCCTATTAAATAGATCTTCTTTGCTGTTAAAAGAAGATCTCTCTTGGCAATCTGCCAAAAAAGGAAAAAAATGATAAAATTTAATGAAAAATAAACTCTAGTTCCCTTTTTCTTTCAAGTACAAATTAGATAGTGAGAAAATATCAGGATATTCTATAAATGATAATGACTTAAAGAAAATTTAACAGTGATAATTTTTTAAAGACTACAAACAGCAAGAAAATTAAAAAGAAGGTCACTCTGACTACAGTACAAGTAGTAAGTACATGTAGCAATACGCCATACAATACCTTGAACCTTCTGTCAAACTTCAGCACAGTATCAGCAAACTCAATCCTCTCTCGTTTGCCAACAAATGTACGTAATGCTGGATTGTCCTCCATTCCCAGGTAGTCCCCGACAAAGTTCCTGTTCAAACTGTGTCTTCTTCTCTCCTTCTTGTTCAACAAAATGTCCGAGGCTACATAAAAGGTATACAAGCTGATTTTTAAAAGCATAATTTTCCTTTACTATGGAAAAGTTAATTTATTTAGAATATATAAAGTGCAAACAAGAAGTTCCTTCATTTCTAGGCAAAGCTTACTACATTTTGAGTTTGTATATATCATAATACCTTATTGAAACTCAATTAACCTACTTTGCTTTCACTTGTAGATGACTTAAATAATTTTACTGAACATTTGACCATTTAATGAGTCACAAACCTTCTTCTCGTAATTTATAGTACATTTTCCTGGCATGGTATTTCCTGTAGGCTTTTTGGATGACCCGAGCATAAGAGTCAAACTTTCTTTCTCTCATCTCTTCCAGTAAAAACAACTGAATGGAATACATGACAAACAATGTTAATTCAGTCTTCAAAAAAAAAATACACATGTACTTATCAATTATCAAATTATCAAATATTATCAAAAATTATCAAATACAATGCATCCAGGAATCCTCAAATTAAAAGATATTTCCTAAATGAAACAAAAAGTGTTGTTTTATGTCTAAAGTACTTACCGATTCTGGATTTTTGATGAACACCTTGGTGTGCCCTAGCTGCCATTGGTCGGGATCCATGTTGACATAGTTCATCAAGTGTTTGATTCCCTGTCGTGGATCACCTCGCCACTGAGGCCACGTCTCCGGGGTCAAAATTGCATACCTTGTCAAAAGATTATTCTTAATATGTTTGTGCAAAGCAAAAATAGCAATGGTTAAATATGACCATAAAAAGATTTAATCATTTTTTAAACTCTGACATTTAAAAAAGGCCCATATTTGACTGAATCATCTAATACCTTCTCAAGAATTTGGAGAACTCTCTCCTGAAAGCAAACCCTGCTCGTCTGACTCTGATGTTCTCCTTCAGTCCCAAATACTCCACTTGATGTTTCACCCTAAAGGTCAAGAACAGAAGAAAAAAACACTATCACAAAAGAAATGAATTGGCACATGGATTTTCAAATACACTCTTGATAAATAACAAATACATGTACTCTCTTGATAATTTGCAAAACGGCACAATGTACCATAGTCAGCTAAAAATCAACAGACTGAGTAAAGTTTCGAGAATATCTCCCTTAGTGCATTCTTTAGCTGAGGAGGGGAGTTTTTTTCCCACATAAACCAGCAGATGGGACAGTTATTTATATTGGTTTTGGTACATCATTGATATGCGGGTCTATCATAACTGTTTGTCCAAGATGCATTCATCAACTTGAAAATTATTGAATTTATTAATAAGTACAATTTTTTTTTCTCGACCAAAAATGTTTTTTCAAAAGAAAGACAGATCAGGCCAGAGAAGAGACATGGATCTCTTAGAAATACACAGGCATCTGATCACTGCATACCAACTCTTTCACATATGATAATTTCAAAGAGTCCACTAACTCTTTAGAAAAAAATTGTAAAATTAAGGAAGCATTGTAGCGATTCTTTTGTTTTGTAGTACCTTAGTTGAAGAAGATTTTGTGAACATGTATATTAGAGCCTAATAAAACTATCAAAATCAACACTGCTTGACATTATTATCTATCTATCATTTTAAAAATGAATTTTAAAAGCCCTGGTTCATTGTTCATTTATTAATGCACATTGTGTAGCATCAATAACATCCTGCTTTTGTGCTAAGATGGATGCTATTTACACCTCTATTATTTGAAAGCTACAATCTCAAAACTTGCCTATAGTTTAGTTCTAATGGGCTTTGGGGTAGGGGGTATGTCAGGGTTTGATTAATATTAGGTTGGCCAATTTTTAAATGCAAGTAATAATACATGTATTGTAATCTACATAAAATAAGATCTACTGAGAGAAAGATGAGAAATATGAAGTATAAGGAAGCCTTCATGCCATAAAATCATTTACCTATAACAAAAATTTTAAACTCCAAAAAGTTCATCGGACATGCAATTTGCCTTATCAAGTTTTAATTCAGTCAAATTTTTATATCAGATTACCGAGGATATGACAAACTTACCTGCTGTCTTCAAAATCTCGAGGTTTCTTAGTTTCATTTGGTTTAATACATCTTATGTAGTGTGGTGTACATTTCATCAATGTATCCACCAACTTGTTAGCCTGGGTCTGAAAAAAAAAATCCAATATTTAAGAAATCCTTTGTGGGCCAAAAATAAAATCTCTTAAATTCTATCCCATCAATTCAAAGAACAGATATTCTTTGGCCCCAAAAAATTAATCCACAGTTTCTCAGACACCGCTGCATCAGGTCAAACTCAACCACATTGAACTGACATTAAAAAGGGAAATAATTTTCTATTTTTCCAAGTTGAAAAAGAAAATTATGCCCCTTTTCATACCTGCTAACAGAAAGACGTTTTTATTAGATACACTATATATTTTTGTTAAAACAGTATTTTAGGAATAAACTTTAGAATTCATCAAAAATGTTTAACTTTATATAAAAGAGACCTGCCTGCCGCATTGAATTTTGAAATTTCTGGCCTGAGAAACTAAAGATTATTTTTTTGGCCTTAGATAAAAAAATGTCTTGTGCAGATACTATTTAGCAATGCAAATTATATTTTTTAAAATAGAGCTCTCTTTTGCAATCACTTAAACACATGTTAAATTTATATCAGTAATCACTCTTTGTCTTGGTTGGTTAAAATTCTTTAACTGTTTGATCATTGGTAAAGGATGTAGGCACCTTAATTTTACTGGAAGCTGTGGATGGTCTCCCTTTGGTTTGCTGACTAAGATCTTCTGGGAACAAACTGACTAAGAACTCACTGTAACAATACAACATTTACTAGAAAGTCACACAGCAAATTAACTGCATTAATAGTTACCAAGCTTCAATAAAAAAATATTGACAACAAATAATATACCGGAACATATATACTAATCTTTATCAATAACAAGGAATAGAGATGTACATATAATTATTCATCTAGATCTAGTTAATGCTCATATACACAATGTACATTGTATAGTAATCTGTTAGCTTGTTCAGATGCTATACATGTACAATGACAATTAAAACAACTCGATCCTTACAACTATATCTGGATGTTTTGGAGGTACAAATACATGTATTACAAATTCTGGAGAAATTTTCCATAAATTAACCATCCACTACCAAGTTTTTCCAGGTTAATCTTTATTTATTACATGTACTGTATAATTATAATTATCATTAGTGCATTTGCTATTACATTGCTCCTTCTTCCTATTTCCAACTTCTGGAGATAGATTAGTTGTAAATTAAAGTGCACTGCAAGTCAGTTGCCAGTCCCCATTATCCATTGTTTTGTATATAAAAAAATCTTGTATCTACAACATTGTTGAGTTTTAAACAAACTAAAAGTACAGAAAAATTTTGCATACTTCTCAAATTCTTCTTAAAATACAAAAAGCTAATGAAATCATGTGGAATCTTTTTTAAAAACTCCTTTAAAGGGGCCTGGAAACAGTTGCATTGTTTTAATATATTTTAAATTTCTATGCTTATTCAAAAATAAAACCAGTTAAATGAATTGAACTTACAAGAACATTCTTATATTTAAATGACAACGACATTTCTCTTTACATCACATCAAACATCTGTTTTTGTAAACAAGGCACAAGCTCTGTTATTGTTAATGTTTACGATTCATAACTCTATCATATTTTACGTCATGATATTATACAGAAAATTTGAGAAAATATTAAATTTCAAATCTGTGTCTATGCCCCTGTAAAACAGAAAATTACAATATGTAATGAATTTATAATGAAGTGTAAAATAGAAGTTTACTTCTGACTGGATTGCATCAGCATGACTAAATCTTGGAACAGGACATCTCGGTTTCTTTCACAAAACCCATCAGCATCATAGGACACCTACAAAGCATTCAAGTTCTCTGTAGCTTATAACTTAACAGGATGAGGAGAAATCATAGGACATCTACAAAAGATTCAAGTACTCTGTAGCTTATAACAGGGTGAGGAGAGATCATACGACACCTACAAAGGATTCAAGTACTCTGTAGCTTATAACAGGATGAGGAGAGATCATACGACACCTACAAAGGATTCAAGTACTCTGTAGCTTATAACAGGATGAGGAGAGATCATACAACACCTACAAAGGATTCAAGTACTCTGTAGCTTATAACAGGGTGAGGAGAGATCATACAACACCTACAAAGGATTCAAGGACTCTGTAGCTTATAACAGGGTGAGGAGAGATCATACGACTCCTACAAAGGATTCAAAGACTCTGTAGCTTATAACAGGATGAGGAGAAATCATACGACACCTACAAAGGATTCAAGTACTCTGTAGCTTATAACAGGGTGAGGAGAAATCATACGACACCTACAAAGGATTCAGAGACTCTGTAGCTTATAACAGGATGAGGAGAGATCATACAACACCTACAAAGGATTCAAGTTCTCTGTAGCTTATAACAGGATGAGGAGAGATCATACAACAGCTACAAAGAATTCAAGGACTCTGTAGCTTATAACAGGGTGAGGAGAGATCATACGACACCTACAAAGCATTCAAGTACTCTGTAGCTTATAACTTAACAGGGTGAGGAGAAATTTAAATTCTGCTATAATATTGGTATATTACTAAAAAAAAGAAAAGAAAAGAAGATTTTCAAAGATTTTTCCCATACATTTCATCGTAATCTTTGATTCTCTATAGTGCCCCCACCCTACCCTGACGTGATTCGAACAATTTAGAATCTACTCTACCCCCAAGAAGCTTCCAAATATGTTTCAGCTTTTCTGGCCAAGTGGTTCTTGAGAAGATTTTCAAAGATTTTTCCTATAAATTTCAATGTAAAACTTTGAATCTCTATAGTGGCCCCACCCATCCCCCAGGGTGTCATGATTTGAACAATTCAAAATCTACTCTACCCCCAAGAAGCTTCCACATAAATTTCAGCTTTTATGACCCAGTGGTTCTTGAGAAGAAGATTTTTTGATTAGCCCACCCTAATTTTGTCTTTTCTTGATTATTTCCCCTTGAAGGAGGCTTGGCCCTTCATAGAAAAAGTTTTAACTCCCCTTCACCCAAGAATGCTTTGTACAAACTTTGGTTAAAATTGGTCCAGTGTTTCTTGAGAAGAAGTTGAAAATGTGAAAAGTTTACAGACAGCTAGGTGGACAGATAACAGACACCAGGTGATCAGAAAAGCTCACAGCGAAAGTCCATATGCCAAATGAGGAATGATGAATGACAAATCCTATACTGGATCCCTGATAATGTTCTGACTATTCTTACCTTTCCTGCGTAATGATGAATGACAAATCCTATACTAGATCCCTGATAATGTTCTAACCATTCTTACCTTTCCTGCGTAATGATGAATGACAAATCCTATACTGGATCCCTGATAATGTTCTGACCATTCTTACCTTTCCTGCGTAATGATGAATGACAAATCCTATACTAGATCCCTGATAATGTTCTGACTATTCTTACCTTTCCTGCGTAATGATGAATGACAAATCCTATACTGGATCCCTGATAATGTTCTGACCATTCTTACCTTTCCTGCGTAATGATGAATGACAAATCCTATACTAGATCCCTGATAATGTTCTAACCATTCTTACCTTTCCTGCGTAATGATGAATGACAAATCCTATACTAGATCCCTGATAATGTTCTGACCATTCTTACCTTTCCTGCGTAATGATGAATGACAAATCCTATACTAGATCCCTGATAATGTTCTGACCATTCTTACCTTTCCTGCGTAATGATGAATGACAAATCCTATACTAGATCCCTGATAATGTTCTAACCATTCTTACCTTTCCTGCGTAATGATGAATGACAAATCCTATACTAGATCCCTGATAATGTTCTGACCATTCTTACCTTTCCTGCGTAATGATGAATGACAAATCCTATACTAGATCCCTGATAATGTTCTAACCATTCTTACCTTTCCTGCGTAATGATGAATGACAAATCCTATACTGGATCCCTGATAATGTTCTGACCATTCTTACCTTTCCTGCGTAATGATGAATGACAAATCCTATACTGGATCCCTGATAATGCTCATGGCTTCCTACTCCACCAGCTAATTTCTGCAATTTAGAAAATTTACCATTATATTTTTTTCCAAACACACATGTATAAACCTGCATTTGTTTCACATAAATTACATACCGGTATATATACTCATATATACTCTACAGTAAATCTTTGTTATACATAAGAATGCATATTTATCTTCCTTGAAGCTAATATACTGCTACATGATGTTTATTTGAATTTTCAGAACATCAAACAGCAAATTCTATCATACTGTAATTTACAGGTGCTCATATCTCAATAAATTACAATGATCACACATGCAATTTCTCAGTATCTCGAAAATACTATACCTCTCTTCATTAAAGAAAATTTACTTAAATTGATAAATTATCAGCATTACCTTTCCATTAATTACATGCCAATTTATTTTCTGGTTATTTACCTTCTGTATGCCTTATCAAAATTATGTACTTGTTTTAATGTCAATAAAACATTATCTGTCTATTCTTTATCCATATTATTTCTTTTTTAATTTTCTGTCAATTGTCATTCCATATCTGTGTACAGTAAAACACGCTTATAGCAAACACAATTATAATGAACTGACACTTACATTAAAGTAATTTTAATTCTCCTTGTCTCTAAATATATTGTGATCTTAATGGATATAACGAATTATGTTTATTACGAAGCAAAATCATCCATCCCTGGCACTTCGTTGTACGTGTATTTTACTGTAATAGTGTCTGATCTGTAATTGTCTGTAAATTATCTTTCCCCTATTAGTACCTGTAATAGTGTCTGATCTGTAATTATCTGTAAATTATCTTTCCCCTATTATTACCTGTAAGAGTGTCTGATCTGTAATTATTTGTAAATTATCTATCCCTTATTAGTACCTGTAATAGTGTCTGATCTGCCCCTTCTGATACGGCATGCATGGTTGCACAGACATCATCCATAATACACATAATTCCTGGTGGAGATTTAGTCTCGATTAAATCACACACAATTTTATTGTTGAAGTATTCTATTGGTGTCCATTTGATTCCTTCTTGTACATACTCTTCCTGTTAATTAACAAATTAGTCAATCAGAACTTAACCACGTTTCAGTCAAAAGAAAAATTTGAATACTAATACACAGATTTCCTCAAATACTACTTCCTCATGACTGTATGTTTCAACCAATTACGAACAGTTACAAATATTCTGGCCTTGCATGTACCTATATGTACATGTATTTCCCTTCCACAATAATATATATTCTTTAGCACATACCTGTTCAGCTTTTAATGTCAGTTCTATAAATATCTGCTGTAGTTTTTCGTTCACATAGTTTATGCAGAACTGTTCAAACCCATTCTTTTGAAAGATTTCAAATCCATAGATATCTAAAATTCCAATATTGATCTCTTCATAATCCTTCCTCATGGCTTTGTTTACAGCCTACAACAGTAAACTGATATGTAAGAACAGTTTACAGCTTACAACAATACACTGATATGTAAGACCTGTTTACAGCTTACAACAGTATAATGATATGTAAAAATAGTTTACAGCTTACAATACACTGATATGTAAGAACAGTTTACAGCCTACAACAGTACAATGATATGTAAAACAGTTTACAGCCTACAATACACTGATATGTAAAACAGTTTACAGCTTACAACAGTACACTGATATGTAAAAACAGTTTACAGCCTACAATACACTGATATGTAAAACAGTTTACAGCTTACAACAGTACACTGATATGTAAGAACAGTTTACAGCTTACAACAATACACTGATATGTAAGAACAGTTTACAGCTTACAACAGTACACTGATATGTAAGAACAGTTTACAGCCTACAACAGTACACTGATATGTAAAAACAGTTTACAGCCTACAATACACTGATATGTAAAAACAGTTTACAGCTTACAACAATACACTGATATGTAAGAACAGTTTACAGCCTACAATACACTGATATGTAAAACAGTTTACAGCTTACAACAGTACACTGATATGTTAGAACAGTTTACAGCTTACAACAGTACACTATGTAAAAACAATGCACTTTCTAGAAAATGATATAAATACTAAGGAATGAATGCTGGGTAAATCTTTACTTTCTTTAAATATAATACCTTTCAAAGCATGTATGGTTATGGACATGTATATATTATATATTGTATATACTCAGGGCTCAAAATAATTGATGACCTGCTGGTCTGGGGCCAGTGAGTATAAACAAAATATCACTATTATTATTATGGTTTTGGGCCAGTCTTTTTAAAATCTACTGGCCCAGTGGGACAGTGAAAGTACTGAGCTGACCAGTAAAAATTTAAGGCAATAGCCCGAGTGACCAGTGAAAAAGATAATTATTTCTAGCCCTGATACTGTAAATCATTTAACTTTTCAAAGACTTAAATAATACTAGGAAATGGAGCATACCCCAATATAATAAGCTTTACATTTAAAATTTTGTAGGGATTGCAGAATTTCCAATCAGTTAACCGAATCATGTTCCGACGAATCTAACTGGTCAATTGTATCAAGATACAAATATTAAGATTTTATTTTCTCATGTAAGGACTAAATAACTAAGAAAGACATCAGTTATATTTCGTTTTTCTTTAACCGCCTGAAAAACTAACATATTATTTTATTTCAATTTTAAAAGCATTTATAACATGCCTTAAATATCACAGACATAAATAAATTCTCAGATCAGGTGTCATAAGTTCATTTTGCAATATCACCATTGTCATCTTTTTAATAAAATCTAATTTGATTAACAAATGCAGAGGGAAACTGAAAGCAGTTACTTGTACACAATTAATCTGCTGTACTCAATTTCATTATTTTTCACTCATTATTAAAGAAACTAGAAATCTGACCAGTCAGCAAGGGCCCAGCCGAGGGTTAGAAACATAAGGGTGCAGATTAGGGGATGAGAATTTTACTTGATTCCAAAAAATTTGAATATATATAAAGAATAAGCAACAGCAACTGCTAAATATCCAACAACCTGTAAATAGTATCCTTGTATTTAAATAAGGCAGTAAAAAACATCATATCTATAATAACTCAATTAAATGTATATTTAAATTTAAATGAATGAAGCATGTGTTTTCTAAAATGCCAGCCTTCAGTGAATGCAAATATCACCCAGGCTTGACCTTTACTTCAAAACAAATATCAGTTGCAGACAAAGGTGTTAATTAATCTTAAAGTGACAGAAAGATAACCCTCTAAAATATTCTGCAAACCAGCAAGATAATCAATCCCAGGGGATTAATTATACTGCTCTCTCAACCTTTTCTTCTAAGTTTACAATAAGAACTTTTTCAGCAATGATCGAATGAGGTTATTATCTGAATACCTGTTAAAATAAATAGTATTCTTGAATTTACATAAGGCAGAAAAAAAGAAAAAAAAAAGAAAAAGAAAATAATAATAAAAACGATATCTTTATCTATATCTTGTTTTTAGAATTCAATAAAATCATAACTCATTTTGTATTTTAACAAAATAAAGTATGAAAATTATTTACATCCACATTTCAGAGATGGTAAACAGCTTTCAGAATTGACCTTAACTTCAAAACAAACTTCATTTGCAGACAGAGGTGTTAATTAATCTCAATGTGGCAGATAACGATAAATGCTTTGAATTTTCTTCAAGAGGAAAGTTAATTAATCCCAAGAGACTCATTGCAGCCTTTCATAGTTTACAATAGGAACATTCTCAGCAGTTATCTCTCTTTGCCCATATACTCTTATATAAAGTTAAGGAATCTACCCCACCACCCCAGCTCCAAACCGAATGACATAGAGAACCAAACTTAGCATCAAAATATGTCTTACTGCCTATTCAACCAACATACCAAATTTGAACTTAATTTGTCAACCCTAAAAAAAAATATAAGAAAAAAAACAGAAAATTTGTGGACGGAAGAATGACAGACGGACAGACAGACAGACAGAGTGATTACTATAGGGCACCCGCAAATCCTTGCGGGGCCCTAATGAAGGATGCACTGTTTAAACAATAATTAACAATTCATACACTGACCAACTATATTTACAAGCCCCCCCCCCCCTTCCCAGATCTCATTCCAGGGAACCTTAACTATCTCAAAATCAGATTAATTAGATATGCCAAAACACTAACTTATTAATTATGTCTTTTTTCTTTTTAAATTGAATGGGATGTAAAATTTTCCTGAAAGTCTGGTCAAATATACACATATTTTATTTTTTCAGTCTAACCAATTCAGGATTTTGTAACCAATTACCATCGTTCCAACCAAGTACCATATATACTTGCCTATAAGTCGGTCAGCCTATAAATCAGTTGTATTTTTTGAGCTTAAATTAGAGGGATTGACCTGCTAAAATACCAATCTTTTTATAACTCCCGTATAAGTTGGATAAAGAGGTTTGGACCAAAGTTCAACTCCCAAAAAAACCGACTTACAGGTGAGTATATACAGTAATCAGTTAACTGGTTACTAACACCATCCCTAAAATTCTGAGATATCAACAAACCTACATAATTATACAAATAAAACAACTGATGCAAAATATTTTCAATATGACATGCAAATACATGTACAATAATTATGTTTTTTTCCGAAAGAAAGCAATGAATAATGAAGTATACCTTCTCCACATTTGTCAATATCATGGCAACAATCGATATGGTGCCTCATAATTAGGGCTGTGTCAATATATTGATTAATCAATACGTATCGAATATTCAGGAATGTATCGTATCGAAAAATAACTTCCAATACGTATCGGGCAGGCAGTTTTTCTTATAATTCTGTGAAAAAGTTGGGAATTTCAGTCACCAAAGGTTATTTTTAACTGTTTTGAATTAAAAATGATCAATAGTGAAATAAACATTAAGGAGGTAGCACATCTTAAATAACTATTGCAAAATACATAGACAACTATATTTTAACATTAGTTTTACTAAAGGAATAACTGTCTAATTTTTTGGATTCATGATGTGATCAATTGAGTGGCTTGCGTGATAATTTGCACAAACGTTGAAGGCGTTTATGCATAAAATTATCACGCAAGCCAATCGATTGATCATCGTCATGAATCCAAAAAATCTGACAGTTATTCCTTATATTTACATGCTCCTGATTCTGCAAATTCCCATGCCAATAGCCCTGCTTCTGTCTCTATTTGTCATGCCCCGCACGTGATTTTTTTTAACCGCGCCTATCGATGAACCAGTAGATTTATGTAGAAATAAAGTATTTTTACAATTTGTAATTTTATCTCGGACAAAGACATTGGAAATGTAAATATAATCATTAAAAGTTTGAATTTGAAGTGTACTTTGTAAAGACAGTGAGACATGAACTTTCAATTTGGTAATAAAACACCCAGTTTTTATCAAGTGTATGGATACAAGACTTTTTTGATAGACTCGTTAAAGAATCCAATATATCGCATATTGCTTTATATAATATCGTATCGTATCAAAAATTTTGCTCAATACACAGCCCTACTCATAATGTGTAAGTATGAATACTTACATTGACAAGGTAGTCAAATATTCTTGAGTATAAGGCTTTTGATAGGGCGTCTCGTGTGAATTCAGCCTGCTCTACATTATGAGTGACCTCAATCCTCTCAGACTTTCCACCCCATTTACTGTCCATGGTGTGACTGGTCAGCTTCTGGCGGAGAAATTCCTGGTCAACAGTTAACAAGTAAGAGGGGTACTGTAAAACTAGAAATAGAATACCTTGTGTGAGGGGTAGTGTAAAACTAGAAAGAATGACCAAACGAGAATGGCATTAGAAAAACCTGGCATAAGAAAGCCTTCTGTTTACAAATTGTCAAAATGCTAACACTTTCTGTGTAAAGATTTAAATGAATTAACATAATTAATGCATTAATTAAATTAAAAAGTTTTAAAAAACATTCTAACAAGCTGAACTGAAAGACTGTTAAAATTAGAGTTTCACCCTGCATTATTTACAAATAATTAACATCTGATAGGTTTTTCTCAGTGAGGCATTTTTGAAATTTCAGTGAACATCATTTCACATAAAAAGCTAATATGTTTATTTTCTTTCTATGTTAAACAACACGTACAATCATCGTTCTGTACTTTGGCGTAGTTTCCATCTTCTATAAAGTTAACATTTCCCAGATGAAGGATAGCTGCTATGAGACTCAGAATGTCCTCCTTGTTTTCTTCTGGAATGCCTACCACAGTCATAGCATGCTGTCAAAACAAAGATGTAATAATGATACTGATATACGGTAAAACCCTACCACAGTCATAGCATGCTGTCAAAACAAAGATGTAATACATGTAATGATACTGATATACGGTAAAACCCTACCACAGTCATAGCATGCTGTCAAAACAAAGATGTAATAATGATATTGATATATGGTAAAACCCTACCACAGTCATAGCATGCTGTCAATACAAAGATGTAATAATGATACTGATATATGGTAAAACCCTACCACAGTCATAGCATGCTGTCAAAACAAAGATCAAATAATGATACTGATATATGGTAAAACCCTACCACAGTCATAGCATGCTGTCAAAACAAAGATGTAATAATGATACTGATATATGGTAAAACCCTACCACAGTCATAGCATGCTGTCAAAACAAAGATCAAATAATGATATTGATATATGGTAAAACCCTACCACAGTCATAACATGCTGTCAATACAAAGATGTAAAAATGATACTGATATATGGTAAAACCCTAAGGAGAGTTTTGATGAACCTTTTTACACCTACATCCTTGCCTTACTACAATTGCACATTTTTCCTTCATCTACCCTTTCCATTTTATACAAATCTCATCAGAAAATATATGAATGATTTTCAGAAATTTCAATAAATACAGTCAAACCTCTTTATCTTGAACTCAATGGGACCAAGAAAGAACTTCAAGATACCCAATGATTTGATATATTGAGGGTAAAATACTTTATAAAAATAAGCGTTTTGGATTTCAAACTACTTTGACATATCCATGGTATTCTAGATATTAGTGTTCACGATACCGAAGTTCAACTGTATTTGAAACATGCCAGACAATGTCTCATGAATGATTTACATAAAAAGCAATTTTTTTCCCTCAAAGATGACTAAACCTTAGATGTACTAGACAATTACTTTCCACAGGGGCCTTACCATTGTATCTTTGAATTCCTGAACATCATCTGTTCCATCAACTTTATAAGCTCCACTCTGATTCAGGTACATATAATAATCTGGATTAGTGAGACCTAGTGACTCTGTAACAAATTACAATGGTACAATGTATATAATTGCATGAACTTTTGCAGCAACAAGAAGATATATCAAAGAATCTGAAAATGCAGTAAAATAGTAAATAGCTATACTGATGCTTTGAATACATTTTGACAAAATTATGGATGACAATACTGTTATGCACAGCCACCAGTAAATGTACTAATCAAGATCAACCAGACTGTAGACCCATAGAATTAACAAAACATACATTCATAATGAAAGAAGAGCATCATTATTCTCATATACATGTCTGCATATCTACCTTTAATTTTATTGTCAGCACCAAAACACATCTGGTAAAAAATATGGAAATTTCTTTCATTCTGGTTTTGCATCACAACACGAGACTGAAAATCACAAAAAAAAAAACCATATTAAATAACATGTGAAAATCAAAGTCTACAAATTAAATCAGTTTTAGTATTCAGAGAAAAATGAGTTCATATATTTATTTTTTTATCATTATTAATTTTTATTTTTATTTCTGACACTGTACAAATGCATTACTACCACCTTTAGAAAGCAATATTGCTTATAACATTGATAAAAAAACATTCATTTTAAAGTCATAGGATGAATATATATGTCAGTACAAATATGTTTTACATTTAGCCTTTACCTTTTCTAGAAGGAAGTTTGATATTTTTCCCCCATCTGGTTCACCACCCCGACTGAACTGTATCTCCACATATTTACCCTAAAACACAATAAAAAAACTGCATCTCCACATATTTACTGTAGAACACATTAAGGAGGGATTCTTCTCACATTTATAGTATTTAAAAATTAATGAAATTTTCACAGATTCAAGAAGACAATATCATTAAGTGATGGTATCAATAACATAAAATTTAACCATTTTATTTCAGGAGTGATCGGGTCAAGGTCATTAGCTTTTTCCTTAACCTTAAAAATAAAATACCAGTATATCTGCTGCCAATCATGTAATGCCTACATCTAGTTTAAAAGAACAACCTTTTTTCTTTCTGCATAAAAGATGTCACCTTATATGATCTGCAAGATGATACTACCAAATCAAGATAAATAACTAAAGTAGATATTGTGTAATCCCAATTTCCTCTATTTTTCTTAAAGTTTTAGGGAATATCAGGAATTTTTATATGCTTCGTATATTTAATTTTTTCAAATTTTCGTATGTGGTGAAGTAGTCATATAAAGGTACAAAAGTTAGAAAGACAAAAGGTTTTGACGGTTTAGTAAGAGAGAAAAAACACATTTTAATTATTTTTTGGCTCAAATCTGTTCTCAGTTACCTAGTCAGAAACCAGACAAGAATCCTTCCTTGAGAAAAACATTACTGACAAAAGAATAAGCTTCAACACTTTTATACTTACAAATCGACTAGAATTATTATTACGGACTGTCTTAGCATTTCCAAAGGCTTCTAACAATGGATTTGACTCCAGTATAACATCTTTGACTCTCTGTAATGTGAAGATGACTTAAACATTTAAAGAAATTAAACAATTTTATTTAAACATACTTGTAATACAATTCTACCTAAGTCTGATTCATGATAATTATGTATTAAAATTATATATATATATAAAAAAAATCATTTTTTACTGGTTTTTGTTTTTTGTTTTTTTGTTTTAAATATCATTAAATGTGCATAACACACACTGAATCTCTTTTCAATCTACATTACATATTAATTTAAGTATTTTTTTCATGTGCATTATGAATGGCTTATCTTCTCTTTATTATACTATTGTTGACCCATATTTCTTAAAAGATACCTGAACTTTAGGACCACCACCAGAGACTTTGGCAATGAAACCCATAATAAATTTGGCCGCCACTGTTTTTCCAGCGCCACTTTCACCACTGAAAAGAAATAAATGTACATGTACCTACAGATTATTCAAATCATTATATTATCAGCTAAAAGCGTAAGATGTGGTATCTTTTTTGTCAATGGGCAGCTTTGTTCAGATACTCATATAAATAAACCATAATCTGTTTCAGGAAAATAATGAAAAATATTTTACTACTGTTCATGTTGCTAGAACTACAATATAAATTTCACCAAGATTTAATATGATTAATGTGAGGTTTTGTTGTGACCTTTAGTTAGCTTTTGTTCTTGTATTTATAGCTTTTGTTTTATCTGATGTGTACTTGTGTTCAGCTTTTGTTTTATCTGATGTGTACTGGTAGTCAGCTTTTATTTTATCTAGTGTGTACTCATATTTATCTTTTATCTGATGAAAACATTGTTTTCTTTGTGTGTCTTTTTGCCTCAATATGTAACACTGTCTATATATGATCAATCAAGATATTTAGTAACAGATTTATGCAGTGTAGTAATCTATGTTACAGAACTACATGTAGATATGATTCAAAGTAGTTTGTTTTAACAGCTATTTGTTACTTATCCTTAGACACTCCAGAAAAGCTTACTAAAACCATTATTTGTTATTGGAATAATTATATTCAGAATTTTTCAAGAATAATCCATAATATCATCTTTTTATTCCTCATCTTGATTACTGGTGGTAGAATATCTTGTAAAATGAATATATTTTGTAACGACCAGATATTAGTTATTATATCTACTATAGCTAATATGTTATGTAATGTATGAGTGTGAGGTAGGGCTGTCACGAGTACCCGAAATAACCGAGAACAGCGGTCCAAGTTGTTTGGTTCGGTTCCGGTTCCATTTTTCCGGATTACGGTTCGGGTCTGGTTTATATATTAAAGTCTGTTCAATACAAAAAATGCCGTCGAAATCAAAGGAATGATGACGATAACAGTGATAAATAAACATCACAACTGAAATCTACTTCATTCCATGACAAAACACTTGTCACGGAAGTATTAGATAATTATCAAAACGAGCAGGAATGGTCAGGTTGTGGCTAATAGTAGGCCAAGTCACCGATGTCTAGACGTTCGCATGGTTAAGACTTGTTTTCAATGTAAATTTAATGTAACAAATAAAGATTTTTCAAGTTAAATTCATGAAATTAAGGTTTAAAATAGATGTAAATAAATGACCCAAAAAAACCCGAAACTGAACCGAAAATTTACAGAACCGACCCCATCCGAAATATTTTGGAACCGTGACAGCCCTAGTGTGAGGGTATTTATTTTTACCTGATAATGACACACTGGTTTTCCATGTCTATCATCATGTTTCTATACATGTTGTCTGCCAAGGCATAAACATGAGGAGGATTCTCATACTGAGCCTTTAAAAAAATATATCCATGAATTAAAGTGAAAGCAAGAAAGTCCAAGAACATCATAAAAACTTATAACTCACAAAATAAATCTTTTGTTTTTATTTGTTTCCATTATTGCCTATTTCATTCTTTGTAATATTTCCACACATTTGTTTGTTTTTTTTTCAATTATAAATTATCAATAAATTATTATTAAGTGCAATATAGTCATTGCACCAGCTAATCAGCAAGAACTGTCGCACTAGAGCTGGAGTCCTTGATCAAGATTCCATGACCTATATCTCATTTTTTCCCTCATACACTGAAAACAGCTTATTGAGAATTTTATGATTGTATATTGACCTATAGGATTGTATCAGAGACCCTTCTAGGTTTCGAACATGAATCTGTAATGTAATACTGCAGCAACTTACAGCTCCTTGATACATTTCCACCTCTCTATCTGTGAAGATGCTCAGCTGTTTGAATGGGTTGACCGAGACCAGCACAGGCCCAATATAGGTCTGCAGTGTTAAGGTTAGCAACATTAAAATCATTATTACTAATACAGGGTTCTCCATCATTTCAAATTTAACTGTGGCGCAAGACTTTCGCGAAGTGCTAATATTCGTGTTCATTTCGCGACCGAATTCGCGAAGGAACCACAAAATAAATTGAAAAACACACAACCCCCCTGAATCAATAGTTTAATATACAAATGATATTTATTATTTGGCAAATTGATTATTAATTTTAATAATAGAAGAAATGAAATGATATCGATTTAACATAGTGTAAAACAAAAATTAGGATGTTCCCAAAATATATGCATACTGTGAAAAAGACCCCCTCCCCCCTCCCAAACACATACATACTTATAAATAAACAAATATTAGCTTTAAAATCTGAAAATAAAAGTACCAGTTACAACAAGTTTTAAGCATTAAACCCTCTTTAAAAAAAATTACAAAAGGTAAATGATGTAGTGTTCATTAGAGGACGGAGGAAATTCTGGTAAGTCATACAATCATGCTAACATCTATATGAATTTGCAATTTTCGGTCTGAAGACTGAAATATCTTAAAATTTGTGAATAAAAAATACTTAAGCAGTTTAGAGTCATGAAATAATATTTTGGTGGATCTATCCTTAATTTTTCAACATTGAAAAAATACATGATTACGATATACGTACGATCTTTGACACGCAGTGCCAATGCAATTTTGGAGAAGTGGTTATCTGTAGAACTATTAAAACATGAATTAATTAATATTAAAAATTTCATTTGCAATTAACGTGAAATGTGTGGAAAAAATGGCTTGTCTCTTTTCATTTAAGTATCCAGAGAGGTCTAGAATATAATTGCCTGTGCAAGCCAAACAATGGGCCCTAATTAGAGTAAATTAACGGTTTAGCATTAGAAACTGAAAAAAGGTACATAATTTGGAGGTTCATTTGGTTTACAAATTTATATATTTATCTCACTGATGACGACGATCTTACTGTGGCGCTAATATTTTAACTGTGGCAGAACTATGGCGCTGATTTTTTAACTGTGGCGCTAAGGAATTTAACTGTGGCGGGTCCGCCACGTTAAACGGCTCAAGGAGAACCCTGCTAATACATGGGATGATATATCTAACTTTGGCGCAGTACCTTTTTATTTCTCAGTTGAGTGAAGATAAAGTGTCCTACTGTTTTCACAACTAAAATTCAAGATTTTCTCCAGTAAGTCATGTCTTGTATATTTTTCAAATTTAAAAAAAACAAAAAGGCATCACTGAAGATTTGATTTAAAAATCATCAAAGTTAATTATTAAAAGGATACGAAGATAGTATCCTCCATGAGTCTCTTTTTGAGGTTCTCGACGATTGCGGACTCCGAAATTTTTTGGAGGAGAACCATATCATCCACCCCGCTGGTCTTGACATTGTGGCTCTGCCAGTGGTAAGGCTAGAAAAAAAAACTGCAGATTAAAACATCAACCCCTTTTCTAAAGAGAATACCCCCCCCCCCTTTCCAAACATCTCGATAGTAATACAGCAAATTCAACTTTAAATTACAGACACTGGCAGTATTTCTTGAGTAATAAATAGAGTAATTGGCTTTGGTGTCTTTTTTAGAATCTGTAGAAAAGAAACAACTAAAAAATTTCCTTTAAGTAGGTGACCATTGGATGTCCCGGAAATGTTTCGAGAAAAGATCAAAGTGAAGAAAGTGAAATATTACCAAGAATTGTAAAATCTTACCATCTTAAACTAGTAAACCTAAACAATCCAGCCAAACTGTTCTCTTCATGTATTCATATTCGTGTCAGAAAATCGTAAACTTTACATTGGGTAACATTGTTAAATTTAATGAAACATTGTTGACAGATAAAAGGAAGGAGCACCTGTATTGGGTGCGCGCGCATTTAATGGAAATTATAAATGTAGGTGTTCTGGCGGGGATTTTAAATCCGGTTTAGATACTGCCGGTGACCAAGATAGCCCAGTTGGTAGAGCACATGACTAGAGATTAAGGGGGTCCGGGTTCGAATCTGGTCTGTCGCATTTTTCTCCTTTCCTGTTACATCTGGTGCCCGTGCCATGCCCTGGTCCAAGTGACAGGTGAGAAACCTGCCAGGGAAGGATCTGGGTTTGTGTCTTCGGGGGCGAAGACCTTTAACAGAAGAAGGGAGGATTGTGGTGGTCAGACGATCGCCGGTATCCAGATAACCCAGTTGGTACAACGATAGCTCAGTTGGTAGAGCACATCTGACTGAAGATTCAAGGGGCCTTAGTGTTTGCATAACTAAACAAGATGTAACGTGCTCAATTTTCTTCTAAAAGAAAAATTATATTTTGTAATGTTGTGTATTTTTTGCCCCAATATATCAAATACTTTACTATAGAAGACAAAGATAATTCACAGTTGTGCCCCTCAATAAGTACTAGAAAAAAATCTAATTTCTTTAGATTTTATGTGTCAACGTATGTTCTATGTGCCATTTCCTGAATAAACAAGCAAACAAAAAACAAAGTTAATTTATGGTGTTTCTACTCAAAAAATGTCTAACGACCTTCCTTTTTTTTAATTGTTTGTCAAACCATTTTAGTAGGTTGCCCCCTCCCACCCTTCACTGAAACTTCCTCCTATGCATGCTATGGGCCCGATTTTGCTAAAATATCTATATGGCATGTTATCATAAAGAAATTTAATTGCTGAATAATTAATTTGTATGTTGACATAATCTATAGAAAATTAACTTGAATAAAAGTGATAGAAATTACTACGTCAACTACTACATGTACTATGAGTCACACCCAGACTTGCTTGACTAACTTTTTTTCCCTTTAACAAGCATTTTTTTTTTCAGTTTTATAAAATGCTAAATTAAAAATAGAACATCAAGATAAAGTATTATAGTTAAATCTAGACGATTTCCCGTGCATGATCAATTCATCGACTTTACAAAAAGCCAGGATCCGCTTCCTCATAAAATTAAAATGAATCATAAAATTATGACATAAATGTAGCTACATGGAATTATATAGTTGTTTCTAATGGTTTCAAAATAGTGTATTCTATATTATGAAAAGAAAACGAGAGAAAAAATTCAATGTAAACTTAAAATCGAACAGTTTTATCCGTTATTAATAATAAAAAAAAGATGAATGGTTGGGCAGACGATACATGTCCAACACTCCTCATGAATGCATTAAACCGGTCTAATTTTATCGTTTTTTCCTTCCGAAATACCTAGCTTACTGTGAATCAGGTACCGGTAATTAAAATTCGCACAAAAACTCCTAAGTATAAATGCCCACTTTCATTCTAGTATTCCTTCTTTTTTGCGCAAATTATATGCCCACCACTTTCGCATTAATGTCCTTTTCCGGTCACACCATCAACGTTGTTTGCCAAAGTTGCAAGGTGTTCGTTGCTTTAATTGCCTATTTTTAATTCACTTAGATTAATGTTATACGTTACTAAAGTGGGCATATATATAGAAGACAAATAGTATACGGTGCACGGCTCTGTTAGTAGCACTAAGAAAAGATGCAATATACAGCTTTGGAATCATGTTCAACATTTTACATATCATAATTTCTTCATAATTTTACACAAATATTTGAATAATAAATACATCTAATTTATATTTTACTATTTTTACGTCATACAGTCACTTCATTTTTAATTAAGTTCACAGCACTATGCCTATGACTTAAGGTTTCAAATTTTAAAATCCAAACTTGCACGTACAGAGAAATTTACTTTCGCATATATTTTTAGTATATGTGTCAGACGCTACAATATGACTACTTGAACTGTCACAATCTAGATTGTAGGATCGAACAGACACTTGGACGGGACTAAGGTTGGACTGTACAAAAGGGGTTCCCAGTACTAGTGCTTTTGGAGTTGGAAGTTACATTTCCTACCGGGTGGACCTCTTTCGTCCTAGAGCAAACAAGGAAATGAAGACAATATTGATCGCTAGCTTTGGCGACCTCTTCTCGCTAAAAAGAAAGTTTTGTATTGGCAACCCAAAGGCTAAGTGACAACAAAGAATTTACAGATTATGTTAGAGTGACCATAGTTATGTAGAAGAACGGTGAATAGTGCCCTCTACCAATTTAGAATTTTTCAATATAATTAAATGTGTTCAAATTCAATAGCATCGAAACATTTGACTTTCCAACACTTTACACAAGCACCCCCACGATAAATTAAAAACCAGGCTTTTTAACATCATGCATATAGACACTTCTTTTTTAAAAAATAGAATGGAACTCGCAAAATTTCCTACCTTATCCTTGATCATCTGCAGACTTTGTTAAAAACCACCCTGATTCTACACACGAGTTTTCTATATACATGTAGATCTGATTTTAATATTTAAAAGATTCTCGAGTTTCTCATTGAGATTAACTATGTAGTCTTTGGAGACCAGGTTTTCCAACAATTTCTGTTGGAATTCTTCTGGGTGCTAATTGAGCCCCATTATTAGCGGACATGCTTTTGTATTGTGAAGCAGAATTCATTCAAAAACTTCTACATGAAAAGAAGACTGGCACTGGTCTTCAATTCGACATTTAAAAATATCGATGACGTTTTATCAATTAACAATAATTATTTTCATTCATACGGAATAAAAGACACCATGCAGTTTGACACAACTGCTTCATATCTGGATATTTTACTAGAGAGAGACATTGATGGCAAACTTTCGACTAACCTTTATGATAAACTTGAATTTATCTTTTCTATCGTCAACTCCCCTTATTTATGGAGCAATATCACAGGCGCTTGTTTCGGTAAAAATGTTAAATCCATATCATAAAAAAATATATAACCGAAACAAGTGTCTGTGAACAATATACCATTATCACCTGCACATGGAATTTATGTCTCCCATTTGATTCGATACGCAAGAGTATATTTCTTGAACGATGTGGATTTAGACCCCAGGAGGCCCGGGTTCCCTTTTGTAATAAGGAATGCTGGACCCGCCTGTGAGAGAGATATGGAGAATATTACCTAGCATATGTAGAATATCGTACTAGCTATATGTACCGAAAATCAGTTATCTGACAATACCCTTCGCAAATTATTGTTTACAGACTTGTGTGCCCCCAGAATACAAGTCCTACACGATAGGCTTCCACATCTATAGATTAAAATTGAATTTCCACAGAATATATGAACATTTCATACTTCAAGCGCTCGCTCCGTGATCGGAAGGTCGTGTGTTCGAATCATGGCCGCGACTGACCTAAGTCGATAAAAAATAGGTAGCAACTTTTCCTTCGCAAAGCGCTCGGCACTTTGAAGTGAAAGTTGCGGGTCCGTCGGATGAAACCTTAAAAACCGAGGCCCCGTGTTATGGTAGGCATTGGCACGATCTCACTGCTCAATGGCCCTTAGTGCCGAGTAAAGGTCTAAATTTGAAGCCCTTCACCGGTATATGGTGACGTCTTTATATGAGTGAAAAATTCTCGAGCGGGACGTCAAACAACAATCAATCAATCAATCAAGTATCCTTGCGTACCTCTCCTCTATTTGTGTACAAATTGTTTACCCTAAAAAATGTCCTATTGATTTACACTGAATCACAATTTACAACGTGTATTTTCCATTGACTTGATTTCCTTGTCAGTTTTTTAATTTGAAGTTTTTGTTTACCCCCCCCCCCTCCCTTTCACATATTTTTGTCCCATGTATTCACAAGTTAAAAGTGTTTTTAATGAGTGAATATGCAATATTAAACATTTATTGACTGAGTTGGACGGCAACATGCGTTTTGCTGCACCCAAGAACCAAACATTTAGTTCGAGGGGTCGACAAAACGCATTTTGCCCAAGAACACATGCAGACAACAAATGTTTTGTTACACCCTTTACCTTTTATTTTGACATATAAGCTTATATTGCGCTGACTTGGCTAATCCGCATACACTGTGACGTAAAAAATGTCATAGTGGTATCTCATCGACAGGTCCAGTATCTCAGCGGTCCAACGTCGACTTTTTGGACCGCTCAGAAAAAACATTGGAAGTAGACTTTTTAGTGTAGGCTTTTTCAGGAAACAATTTTTAAAGGTATAACTTTAACAATAATAAAGATCTGTAATACTAGGTTCATACCACTAATATATAATGATAATTCTATATCCACAAACACTTAAAAAATTACAAACTTTCCTTGTCAGAAATATACCACAAAAAAGTATATCAGTGGATTGATGTTGCATAGGCTAATGATAATCTCAGATAAACGTTTAAGAGGATACAAAGTATAGAGTGTCTCCTTCACAGGCCCTAACTAGTTCATGCATATTCTACACATCGAAATACACTGCATCACTCAGCATATTTAACATGTCAAAAAGGGTCAGATGGAAACATAACAAAAGGAAGAACATTACCGCCGCCATTTCAGTCCCTCTTCTATTTGGGTCCTGTTAGATCATCAAAGCATTCTCGTCCAAGAAAGCAACATATATAAAATATTAATGAACAGAACACTGATTTGTGGTTTAATCCTTTGGTCCTCGGTGAGTAAACATGAGGGATGTAATTGATATGACCCCAGAGAGCTCGTCGATTTCCAACTTCCGATACGACTATCTATACGGAAACTGACTAAACGCTCTCAGTGCATAGCTTAAACACACATTATATACATCTCTGTCTTATCAACTCTCTGTCCCTATATATGGGGGATACTTCCTTAATCGGGCTAAAAAAGGATATCAAATATAAAAATTTTACGGATTGATACCTAGTAGAGGACATTCAGTGTGTAGGAGGGAGGGAGGGGGTGTCGGTGTCATGTAAAGCAGAAGAGAACATCGGGGAAAAATTATTTTAAAATACAACTGTAGTATATACTTGGACTAAAAGTACATTTATTTCAGGTTTTCACTGGTAACAATACAATGTTTAGGGAAACCTGTTTACTGTTTACCTTGATCAGGGAGGTCTGCAATCACTGGCGGATCTACTTCCGCATTTGCAACCCTGCGGCCATGACCTCAATTCTCACCTTAAGCTTGCTCCAATGTAAAAAAATAATTTAATACACGCGATATCGATTTCCTGAATTTTTTTTTTATAATATGTGAAATTGGCATGAAAAAATAAAATTATGGCATGACTGATCATAGATTTTAAAAGATTTTTTATGCATTTATACTGATTTTGAAAAAAGCATTTGATTCTGTATGGAGAATCGAAATCTGGAACATTATATTATTTGATTGCAATAGATGGAATGGAGTTTTAGAATTATCAAGAAAATGTATGCATGCCGATATCAAGGCAAAATCAAAAGTAAATGGTGCTCTATCTAATCCGTTTCCTTGTTAAGTTGGTGTAAGACAGGGTGAACATTTATCCCTTTTTCTGTTCTCTGTCTATTTAAGACTTGTTTCATACCATTTATAGCCATTATAGGCCTTGTTTTTGTACTGAATTGACTACGGATTGTTCCTTCTACCTGATCAATACATAGGGCACACGACGGGTGTGACCGGTCGACAGGGGATGCTTACTCCTCCAAGGCACCTGATCCCACCTCTGGAATTTCCAGGGGTCCGTGTTTTATGCCCTCTTCACATTTTTGATATTGTTTGTGGATTTTTTGAGATCGATCACTGTTCGTTATCTCACTTTTTCATTAATTGATTTAAATTCAATCCTCACTATGAATAAAATAAATGGCCTGGAGATCGAAACTATCTGAAATGATTGAGAATAAACTTCTTGAAATGAATATATTAAACTTATTGCTCTATTATGTGCTGACGACTCTGTTTTATTTGCTGAAAACCCTGAGTCGTTACAAAATATGTTGAATTGTTTCAATGAATTATTGTATAAAATGGCGGTGAAAAGGCTATGTTGACAAAACAAAAATAATGATTTTTGTAAGAGCATAGAATTTATATTTTACTTACAATGATTTACGTTTAGAAGTCGCTTTTAGTTTTAAGAACTTTAATTGGACTATATTTTTCAAAATCAGGAATTTTTTATCAAAACATAAAAGAACAATGTAATAAATCTGTTAAAGCTATTTATGGAGTGGTGTCAAAATTTCATCAACACAAAGCTTTCTATGGATTGTCAGATAGAGATGTTTGATAGAATAATTCAACCAGTTTTACTGTATGGCTGTGAAGTATATGAGGATTTACAAAAAATACTTTAATTGAAAAACTTCACTTAAAATATTGTAAATATATCTTAGGTTTCAACACTAAAACACCAAACTTTATGGTATGTAGGGAACTTGGTCGACTTCCACTTATTATAATATTAAGATGAGAATGGTTACTCTTTTGGGAAAATCTTCATTTTTCTCAAACGAGGGATAAATTTGCTACAAAAATGTATGCACAGGCATTAACTCATAAGTCATAACTTCCCTTTGGCCAACTATGTTAAAATGTTTTAGATGAGTATGGATTATCTAATTTATGGACGACACAACGGGCGTACAGTTTAGCATGGGTTAAAAAAGAAGTAAAAAGAATACTTGTTAATTGACCAAATATCCAAAAACAGTAAAAGTAAATTTATATATAATTCATCAAAGGGAATTAACTATCGAATTTATAAAGAAATACTTGAACCGCAAAAATATCTTGTTATTTTGCCTCGAACATTTTCAACTTTGCTATGCAGATTTAGATATAACAATTTTAGACTCCCTATTGAAACAGGGAGGTGGAATGGTTTTCCAAAAGAACAAAGGACTTGTACTGGTGATGAATTTCATTGTATTTTTGAATGTACACAAAAAGAAAATCTAGATGGTACAGTACCCCACTTAACGAAAGAATGAATTTAAAAATGTTCAGCTTTTTGAGAAAGTTGCGGGGGGGGGGGGGGTATTTAGACAATAGGTACTGTTGTAGGCGAAATGTTTTTTCATGCTATATGCCTGTCATATATAGAAACTATTAAAATATATTACTGGAATTATTATGTCAGCAGTGGTAAAAATTCAATTACCCGCGCTTGCGCATGATTTCATCTAGTATTCTATAATTTAATGCTTTAGGTGAGGTTTGATTATTTGATTGCCAACTTTGAAGTGATCAATTAAGGTAGTCCGATCCTCAGGTTCTGAAAATCAGGAGTTGAGTGATTGAAAATGCTCACAAAATGTCTTTGAATTCTCAATGTGTATCTACCCATGGTATTTCTTCAAAGTTCATCATTATAGTTAATCATTATATAAGAAAATTTATCAAATCTCAAATATATTTTAGGAAATGCGAATAAATGCACCCATTATCCATTTTCTAATTAAAAATCGATCAAGAAATATATTAAATAGGACAAAAAACTGTAGGTATCCAGGTATTTGGAGAAAATTGCATGTTTTTTGAATACTTATACACTACTTTAGTTCTTCTATTTAGTTCAATAGTTATATAATAATCATTTATAGTGTAAAAAGCTTGCGCTATCATTGCAAGACATCATAGATCACTTCTAATTTCATATAATGCTAATAAACATTGGTATCTAAGGGTAGATTCAAGGAAATTCAATTTCTCTAAAAGGTGTTTATTTTTGTAATTCGTTTTGTTTTTTGTTTTGAACATATTTTATTGATTAAATCAAAAGGATTGGATACAAGTTCTAAAATAACTTACTAGTTCCTCTCCTTATATAATACAATATGTCATGCAAATTAAATAAAAGTAGTACAAATGATACAAGTGAAATTTAACATATCAACTAAGAAAATCTACATGTTTCATCAATAAATTTATGAACAGCAGCAAAAATACTGTTATTTATCTGTAAAGGCAAATTTTCATCACCACATAGTAATAGGTTTAAATCTATATAGTGACCAATTCAAGCATGAACAAGCGATTAAAAGAGTATTTCTAGCATTGGAATAATTTTTGAATGCAAAGAATAAATGGTACACATCTTTGCGCTTTCCGCATGAACATGAAGGACTATTTATATAATATTTCGTTTATATAAATCATAGTTTAGTATACAATAATAGCTTAGTATGAATGATATTGGTATATCGCTTTCCAAAAGAAAAGTATTATGGTGGATTTTTAAGTTTTCCTATCAAGTTTTTTTCGGAATGAATTAATTCAGATGGCTTCCCTAACCTGTTTTTAGTAAATTCTAGGGATGTCAACGAAAATTCGAGTAATCGACTATCGTTCGATCATGCCGACTATCGACTAAAATTTTTAAACTCGGTTATTGGTTAAAAATTTGCTACTTAATAGTTATCTTAAATTCAAGGTGATAAAATTGGATCCGCGTAATTCATTTATCAATGCAGCAGTGTTCTCGAGAGTAAAACTCAGGGTAAGGCTTAATCGGTCACTGGGATATATCGTATCGACATAAGAATAGAAAAAAAATTAATTGACGTTATGTTCTCTTTCGCTTCGCTCAGCCGAACATAAATTATTTCCTATTCTTTTTACATAAATAAAAACTCAAACACAAATATTGGAGGAGGCGACAATGTTAGCCAGATTCGAATAAAAAACGTCTGAGGAAAAATATAATTTTTTTTTTTTTTTTTTTTTTTTTTTACAATTCCAAATATTTTGACCCAAAAAGAACCTTCTCTGTACTATTCTAGCCATAACCGTCCTTTGCTGTGTCACTATTCCACCATCCATCAGCCTTAGAAAGTCTGTCAGGGAAGTCTTAATTGGCTGTAGCTGAAGCACTTCCAGATCTAAGTGAATGCACAACGAACTTTGACACATCCTCATCTGCATCTTTCAAAGACTTCAAAATAAGTACTCTAACACAAGTATAAGATATGGCCTTGTTACTTTTAGCAAGCTTATAAGAATAACATTTTTTTTTTAAATTTATTTATTAATTTATTTTATTTATTTATTTATTTTTTTTTTAAATATCTTTTTACTGACCTAAATGTAAATTCATAAGAACCGTTCTGAATACCAGCTAATCTAAGAGGATAGTCAATTAAACACTAAAGAAGACACATTTTTGCTGCACAATTTTACCCCTTCTGTATATATCAGTCTTGAAGCTTCTTACATGAATTTCCACATGAGTATCGTAAAAGGTAATATTCGATCTCTTAACTCTCTGGCCCTGAAAAATCCTGGAAAAAACAGTAGTCTAATACACCAATTAGATAAATCAGACAAATTACTCTTTAAGCTGAAGATCTTACAAATAATATCAGAAGTAATCGGTTGTTCACTGAGGTTTTGCAAAAGTATACAAAGCTCCCTCAAAAGTCATTTTCACAAGTTTGTCAATACACGGGTTTGGAAACAAATATTTCTCATGATACCGCTGCACTGGATAAAAAATAGAATTGAACACCGAAGATGTTGATTTACTCTGAACAAGATCAGAAATGAAGAGAGACATTGTTGCAGGCGTTGCTGTTAAAGAAGATAAATTGTGAAGTGAACACCAGTTATCAAATTTAGAAAATTATGTCTTGAGAAAGTGAACTTTGATTTTCAAGATTCGATTAAGCCTGATATTTTTTTCAGCTAGCATAGCAATGTTCCCTCTTCATGAGTTTTCAATTTTTCTCGATGTGAATGATTGAAGAACTGAAATCATAAACAACAAAAACATAAAGGAATAAAATTTCATTTTTTTTTTTTATAATTTCGCTTTTAAGATTAAACGCAAATAATAAACAATTGCAAAAAGACTCTTAGTCTTGACTCTAGCTTTAACCAACATGCATATAAACTTCATTCATGGCTCTCAAACCAATCAATTACATATATCAGGCTCTCAGCCTACAAAACACATCTCAATTCTGGCTCTCAGCCAATCATTACACATATCAGGCTCTCAGCCAATCATTACACATAATTATCAGGCTCTCAGCCAATCATTACACATATCAGGCTCTCAGCCAATACTTACACATATCTGGCTCTCAGACTTAAAATGCAAACTATCAGTCATGGCTACGCTGAAATACAAAATAAATTCATCTGAATAAGTCTAAATATTACAATTAACATTAAGTATTATAACATTGGAGAAAAACTTCACACCAACAAAAGACAACTTTTTTTTTTTTTTTTTTTTTTTTTTTTTTTTGTAGGATCCTGCAATGAAGAAATATCTTAATTTGTCATATTCAACGTAGTCAATAACAAAGTTTTTGAATTTTCCATCTACATTTTCCAACATAGACCAAAAAAAAAACGACGTCCATTTTGGCACAATAAGTGTGCCATGCACTTTACATGCACAAACTTAAATGATTAATAACATCTGAAATAAAAGAAACTGGGGTGAATAATCAAACAGTTAAAACATTTCCAATTAAAAGCAGACGCATCAACCCCATAACTCCATGGCGTCCAAAATTTGCTGAAAAAACTTTTTGAAAACTTGAAATTGTTATAATCTGCAAAAAGATTACATCATATGGTCTTCATTTTTTGCTGAAAAATTTTAGAAACAGACAAATCATTAAAATCATATACTATAACAATCTGTAACCCTATTTCTATCTCTCGGAATCTACTCTACATGTACTTCTAATTTTTTTTTTTTTTTTTTTTTTTTTTTTTTTTTTTTTTTAAACTCTGAATACAAAAAGAAAAAAGAATTAAGTGCAATACCTTAAAAAACTCTTTTTTTTTTTTTTTTTTTTTTTTTTTTGCTACCTAATTTCACCATTTTAACTACATTTTCATTGTCAGTATAAAGTTTTACAGTTCTGTTGCTAATCTTATCTGCAAAAGATATTAAAGTTGTCTCAACTGCTTTCATCTCCCTCCAGGTAGAACTCTTGAGAGCTTCCAAAGAATTCTACATTTTATGCACTATACTATCTGCGAATTCCACAATGTAACCAGCCGCTGCATACTTGCTTGCATCCGTATAAACGATCCTTTGTGGAATGAAACCGACTTAAAGAAAATCATTGCAAAAAAATTCAGTCGTAATTTCATCTGCAAGAAAATTAGGATGATCCCATGAAACTGAATTGGCAATAACCATATGTATAACTCTTATAACAGGACATGCATTTCCTAAAGATTATTGGAAATTACATGTGTCCAGCTATACAAAAGCCAGAACACGTGTTGTAAATTTTTCGACTAAATATATAACACATCTATGACCTGCTGCTCTCCAATATTTCAACAAGGACTTGAGCAACTTTGTCAAAATAAAAAGAACAGAATTCAAATCGAAGGGAAGTACTATAAAAAAAAAAATAATAGGTTCTTTTCCAAGTGAAACTCAAATAATTAAAATGCAATTGGTTTAAGACCAAATGATGATGGTCACCCTTAAAATCGAACTTGAACACAGTGATTTTTCTTGCAAAACTTGATAGAGCTACTAATACCTTCTAGCTTAAATTAATGTATTTTAATGTATTTTTTCTTACACACTTGTTAACATGTCTGTGATCCAAAATTATTCTTATCTTACCATGAAAATTTGTAGAAACCGACAAATGATTGACAATTGAAGGAACAGTGTTACACCTAACAATTACTTTTTTTTTTTTTTTTTTTTGCCTAAAAGACTACTTATTTCGCTGTCTAAAAATTCCTCATGTTCAAGCGAAGACATCAATCTGCAGAGTAATTGGTTCTAAAAAAATCAAAAGAAATACTATAACCATAGTGAATAGTATCAATGATGTACTGTGCTGCACGTAATTGGTATTTCCAAAAAAGAAAATATGTTTTTTACTAGACTTCCTTTAACTGCATGTTTGTACATTTATAATTTCTTTTTCACTAGACAAAATATCTATTACCGGTTTAGGTTTTTTGATTGTCTGTCGAGGGTCCGGTTTGGGTTGAAGTTAGCTTCCCGTAGGGTTGGCTCTTTTTCTTAAGTATACGTACAACTGAACAGTGCCCAAACCCGTTGCGATACAGGCACTGATCTGGTTATATTCTGTAGGTTTGAACTCCAAAATTCCCTATGTGCCGACTTTTAGCCGTGGTTTCCTCTTGACGAAGTCCTTGACTTTCCTCAGAACACATCATAATTGGAACATCCTTATACTCTTGGGCTACAGCTACATGTACACCCCAACCGTATTTATCTGAAATTCTTATAACTTATTCTGGTCTTTAATACGAAGAACTGGTTTATCATTATTATTATTATTATTATTTCTTTAGCATTCAAAACATCAACATAGTCAATATATCTATTTACGCTTTCTAAGTCACTTCGTAAATTTGCTAAATATTTGTACCTTTCTTTGCGATTTTCCAACTTGAAATCAACAGAATTTTCTTTTTAAAAACAGCTTTATGTGTTCAGCCAAAGCTGCGTCCAAACTTGCAGGAAAACAATTGGAATGCTTCAGCGTTAGCAAGGTCCTCTGTCATGGTTTGCAAACGAATTTCTTGAGCGCGGCATTACTCACTGTTGTTGGACATAGTCGATTTAGCTCAACGTGGGGATTGCTCTCTCCCGTCTGAATCGTACAGCTGTGGATCTAACTGATAGGTCGTGGCTAACTTGTCGAATGACAATAGAACTTAAAACATGAGTTTAAGGACAGACGCAACGTAGTTTTTACTTTATTTTTTCTATCTCCTAGAAATAAAGAGTTCCAATAATGATTCCGTAATATTTCCCGAATTGGGTTCGATTTTTACTTTCGATTACGTCCCTTGAGAGCTCTTTCGTACGTAGAGATAGTTTTAGGATATCTTTGTTTATGATGGAGAAAATTCGCGACAAAGGAGGGCGATTTATCTCCAAAGGAAAACAAAGTAAAATAACATCGATTAAATGTAATAGGCAGAAGAATGTGGCAGTTGAGGTCCCTTCTACAAATTCTCAAGCTGATCCTGACGATCCACTGCCTATTCCAAGTAAGTTATCTTGATTTGTGTACTTGCGAATATCGTATAATAGACGTATAAGTAAACAACAAAGAAGGGCTAAATACTTCATTGATTGAAGTTTAAGAAAACACTCTTAAGCATTTAGATATCTTTGTGTCGCTCATTCTTTTATGTCCTCGGTTATTTGTGGTAAATTTATGACAGATGATGATTTCCCAAATCCAATCCACATTTTGGAGCATAACTATGCCTACGATCTATCAATACACGGAGACTGTGAAGAGGAAGTAGTTCCAGTGCTTATTGATGACGAAGATACATCACATGTCATACAGTGGAACACAGGAAGAAGAATTGTTGAATTGGAATTTATTGTGAATAAACTTATAGAGGGTTGTTGTAAATGTAAACAATCTTTGAATTTGAGAGACATTTGTGGTGAACAGAGATATGGACTAGGTTCCTTATTACATATCAAGTGTAATTTCTGTACCACAGTAAACTATGTTCCCACAGGAAAACGCCATTCTCGCTCGGACAATAATGGGATACGAGCATTTGATGTGAACACAAAAGTTGCACTAGGTTTGTAATTATTGAATACTGACTTTATCATTCATCTTCATATGATCAAAGTATCATCTTAGAATACAGTTATATTTATTATGGTATCTTGAGAATTTTTATTACATTGCAGGGATGCTCCATGCAGGCATTGGCGAGAAAAAATTATCTATGCTCCTAAGTGTACTGAACATCCCACCACTATCAAAGACCTCTTTGAAAACCTCTGAAAGACAAGTTGGTCGAGCAGTTGAAGATGTTGCCAAAAAAAGTTGTAAAGAGTTTGCTAATGCAGAGCAGGAATCATTTGGGTAATACTAATAAATCTTTGTACAGGACCAGTGTTTGATAGATTCTGTCCTCATATTTCTTTGTTATGACCCACACATTTGAAAGGAAATGGTGTATATAATTTTGTTAATAAACTATTGCTAGGCAAATAATAAAATATCTCTGGCTATATAAATATGAGAACTGTAATTATCAGTAATGCATGCAGTATTCATCAAAATATTGTGCATTTATTTCTTGAATAATTTATTTTTATTTTATTTATTTTTTCAATTTACAATCTGAAACATTATTTCTTTCATTTCATTTTTGATTTTGCAGCAATGATGACTTTTCAGTGTCTTTCGATGGAGGATGGCAGAAAAGAGGTTCAGAGCGATCTTATTCAAGTTTGTCAGGTTTGAAAAATTAGTAATTTGCAGATATATATATAAAGATTTTTTCATAACATATATGTATATTGGAATGACTTTGAAGAATGGATGTGTAAAAACCCAAGTATTATATATCTATTGTTATGCCATAAGACCATGATCAAAATCAAATAAAATCATCTCAATTGTAGGACATGCTGCAATGATAGGTAAAGAGACGGGAAAATGCATCGCCTATGCAACAAGAAACAAGTTCTGCAGAGTGTGTGAAAGGGCAGAGAGGACAAAAAAAGATATCCCTGAACATGACTGCAGGAAGAATTGGTCAGGTAGTTCTAAGGCAATGGAACCAGACATGTGTATAGGTAAAATAATTGTATAGTGTTTTTTGTATAAAGTCTGATATGCTTGGTATTATACAAAATATCAACATGATCAATGTAAATGTAAAAACACAGCAAAATTTTCTCACATGATTGTATGAGTCAGCGAACATCATTTTGATTTTTTCTATTGTTCATGTTAGAATATTATCATAACAGGTATGATGAAGGAACTTCAGGATAGCAACATTCATGTTGGAAACATAATTATGGATAACGATTCCACAACAGTTGCGAGAGCTAGAGCTGAAGTAAATCCGGCCCTAAAGAAGCAATGTGATAGAAATCATACTCTAAAACAATTTACAAATAAGCTATACGAGTTGAAAAAATCTAAAAACTACAAAGAATTGAATAGTAAGACAATTCAACATCTGTCAAAATGTTTCAAATATTGCATTTCCCAAAATGAGAATGATCCCTCGGGTATGAAGAAAAACTTAGAGGCAATTGGAAGACATGTTTTTGGTGATCACAGTTTCTGTGAATCCTGGTGTAAATATTTAGCTTCACCACTAACATACAAACCTTGGCAATTACCTTATCACAGATATCTGAACAATCAAGATCTAAAGAGTGACTTGACATCTCTACTCAGCTTATACATATCACAGGCAGATAAACTAGTAGACCTGGGCAGTACACAACCTAATGAAAGCCTTAACAATACCATTGCTAGCAAGACTCCAAAACAAAACTTTTATTCAGGATCAGAAAGCAATGATTTCCGTGTTGCAGCTGCAATTGCCCAAAAAAATTTGGGTCATCATTATGTTACAGAGGTATAAAACTTGTATATTCATTTATTATTTCATAAAAGCAATTGTAAAGTTTCAAATCAATTATATTTCATTTCATTGAATTTCATTGTAGGTCAATGAGGTCTTGCTATTATCCCCAGGTGAAATTACTTCTTCAAAAGCCAGAAAAATAGACTTGAAAAGGAAGAGAACTAAAGAAACTGAAGATACAAGTACTTACAAGAAAAAAAGGGCACAGAAAAAGATGGACCAGCATAAATCACAAGAGTCAGCAGAAGTGAGGGAAGGAAGAACATACGAACCAGACACAGATATGAACAACAATACTGATCCAAACAGCATCAAGGAAATACCTCCACCTCTCAGCAAACCTGTACCTACTCCTATTACTGAGGGTCAATACACATTTGTATATTTTGACTTAGAAACTACTGGTTTAGGTAATTATCAGTTTTACAAAAATAACTCAAATTGAAATTTCTGTCATTTATTTTACTATTCTCATGGATTGAATTTTGTTTTGCAGGTGACGATTGTGAAATAACACAGATCGGGGCCTCTGTCAATGATGATGTGTTTTGTCAGTATGTTTTGCCATTGACTCAACCAATTTCTGCTTCTGCCACAGCTGTGTCTGGTATTGCTACACAGAATGGTTGCATGTACAAAAATGGACATGAAGTTCAGTGTATGAGGACACCAGATGCAGTGAACAATTTTATACACTGGCTTGGAAAATTTGGGAAAGTATTGCTTGTGGCTCATAATGCCAAGTTTGACTCTAGAGTTCTAGTGCATGTGTCGAGTTCCATCGGTATTAGTGCGTCAGAACACATAAGTGGGTTTGTGGACACATTATCTCTATTTAGAGAACTTTACCCAGGCCGCAAGAGTTATAAACAAGTGGACTTGCTGAAGGACCTGTGTGTGACTCATTATGATGCTCATGATGCCAAATCTGATGCCTTGGCCTTACAAACTCTTTTATTGTCTTTGTCAGTTTCATGTCAGATTATGATGAAGCATAGTTTTTCTACAGAATTTGTTGTAAATAATTTGAATTTTTTGATGATGAAAATGAGAAACATGCAATCATTGCAAAATCTTATTGATAATAAGATTTTATCCAAGTTTACTGTAAACAAAATTGCTGAAACAGGTCTTCATTTCCAGCACATTTTATTAGCTTACCAGAGAGACAAAGAAAACGGGGTAAGATCTCTGCTATCAGAAAAAACAGGAGGAAAAGCAAGAGTGACAGGAAATTCAAAAATTATTCAGTCTCTTCAGAATCATTTTATGAATATGAAAACATAAATGCATGTACAACAACTTTCAGTGCTTTCTGTTGTATGTATGGGTGTATTGCATTTCTTTCTTCAAAGAGAGGTAACTCAGGTACAAACAACTATGCAAATTAGATTTTTAACAAAAATCCAAGAAAAAAGGCTGGTTTCATATGCTGAAAACTCTAGAGTTTCATCATCTATTGCTGTAGTACTCTTGTAAAAAAAATTTGGAAGAAATACCAGCTAAAATTATGTTTGAGGATTTTGGTATATTTTGCATAGAAAAACGCCAAATTTTCATCATATGTTATCTTTTCAAAACCCCTGGTAATATATTCCGATTTTTTGCCTAAGAACATCTTAGGGGGCCTTCATTTTAAGTTAAGAATTTCTTGAAAAACTACCAACAGGTAATGTACGTTGCGTATGACCTTAAATACCCTTCGATCGAATTACTACGTGCCACAAAATAGACCCCGAATGTGATTTAAATTAATATAGCGCTTAAGTGACATCAATAGAAAGTACACCGAAAAGATACATATTGCCTGGATAGCCGAATCAATATACCCTCCGCCCCTCACGCCGAAGCAACCAGGATCGACCCTACAGAGCATCAAACATTTTTTTTTAATGTAACCGAAAAGAAATTTATATACGTCGTCGATATATCTAAATATCGAGTTGAAGGCCACAGCAAATGTTTTCTTCTATTCACGTATAAGATTTTGAACAAAGTCTGCTTCGTATGAATACAAAAATAGATCTATAGATTCCTGATGATGATAGTTGCACATCAACTTAAGACTGGGTCATACCATAGCTATTCATAGAAAGTCAAGATATATCCCGAACGCAGTTATCGTCACTTACAAAAAAAAGCAATCAATGATTGGTCGAACGATATTTATAAACTCCAATCACAATGCGAGAAAAAAATCCCGATTTTTTAGCACCATAGGGCAAGGGTTTATGAGAAAGAGTAGCGGATCAGAAACCCTTGGCTAGCGAAGATGAGTTTACCGATAAAAGACATTTTTAAATCCTTAACCTAGTCAAACTAGTACTAACATCTTGCAGAAACCATACCAACTGCCCTACCACATTCTTCTATTGTCAAAAGCTGCATACCAAGTCATTTTTTTTCTGAGTTTTTATTAAGATCACATTTTCAAAGAAGAAAATGGAATTTTATTCCTCTACAACATGTGAGCACGATTTTCAAGCATTTCTATAAAATAGCACGAACTTCAGTTAACATTTATTTATTTACCTATTTGGGAATTTAAAAATCTTACTTTTATTCATGGTTACATATTCATATATCAGAATATCAGATGTCTTAAACAATTTTTGAAAAGAAAAATTTCTGAGATGGTGCGTTAGGAATTATGTCTAGTGTATACTATAGTCACTGTATTTCTAGATGCAGTTGCGAACTTTATCTTAAACTTTATTTCATTTTGTACATAGCTTGAATTCTACGATTCAATGAGTTCATCATACAGTCTTTTGATTGAGCGAAAGAAATATTCTGTCTTTTTGATGTGCCTGTTTCTCAGATACTATATGCTATGCAGAGTAGAAGCCCTTAGTCTTCCAAGTAAGCGTATGTTAGGTTAAATATATTACATATATCATTTGCACTCCTTCAACTTCATAAACGGATTAATGCCGCTATACCTAAGATGGACAGCAAAAACCTCTTGGAAACCCAAATTATGGCCAATTTGTTTGTAAAAATTTAATATAAGGATTCTTTCTAATCTGGGAAGGACTTCTCTCCAGTAACGAGATGAAAACTGTCAACCGTTCAATTATCAACTACACAAAGTTGAAAACGTCCCAACTTTAATAGTACGTAGTTATACTTCATTTATGATTTCTTCTGAAAAAGGGATGTTGTATTTCTTTTGCGTGTCAGCATATAATACTAAAATAGATTACTAACAAAAAAGTAGTTTTTACACTTTTAATACAGACAATTTTTTTGCTTTGCTTAATGATTCCGATAATGTTTCTCTATTCTGATTGGCTGTTGTAGGCATTGTGTCAGAATCCATGTTATTTGATTGGTCAATGTTTAAATTCTCTTTTTCCACTTCCTCTTCTGATTGGTCACTTTTTTGTTCACTGTGCAATTCTATAAGCTTTTTCTCCAATTCTTCCCGACGACGAGTTATTCTTCTGGCCTCAACCAGAGTGTAAGGATGAATAGGGAAATATCCCACAATTCCTGAAAAATACGGACAACACTACCTGTATATACTTGTAAAACAGAAAGTAACATTTGTCAAACAGTTTGCCCTGGAAAGAATATTATCATAACAAAAATTCATTTGACTTTTGGCATTATCTTAAATTTGACCCAAGCTTCAGTGATATATATAATACAATATATCCAAATATGAAAAACAAATAATTCTTTCAAAATTCAGATTTTATGGCTATGGTTAAAGCTTTGAAGTGCTGAACAATTTTTTTCTGTGTACCTGTATATCAAATTTAAAATCGTAGAAATTTTTGGTTCTGGAGAAGAAAACTAAGAACTGAAACACAAGACACTTATGATGACTATTATAATGAGTACTTTTCAGTTTGACTACTGGATCAACAATGAAAAAAAAAAGATCAGAAAAAGCTCAAGTGAACTTAAAGAATCAATGCAAAAATAATACGCCCATTTAAATTAAAATATTATATTGACAACTTTCTGATTGAACTTTGATCCATTTTCTATAATGATAAACTCATTGAAATGAACATTAAAAATATTTGTACATGTACTTTCACCAGAGACATACATATTGTTTTTTATGTCTCTGCTTTCACAAATAATTCAGAAGCCAGTAACTCTGAAACTTTCACAAATACATGGAAAGCTATGGCTAAGGGCTGTCCTCACAATGTCACGGGTCCCGAGTCCACTTGTGGCCGTTGAACCCTGACAAATTTTATTTGATATTCTACTGGTTTGCCTCTCTGATTGAGAAGCACCAATATTAGATAATTTAGATTGGGGCTTTCACAAGTTGATGTAAAACTTAAACAGAAAGTAAACAGCTGACACCTTAACGCAAATGCCAGTGTTATAGGTTGTTTTGGCACATAATGGTTTAGTTTTTGGTCGAGAGATAAGAAAAACAATCAACATTTGTAATTTCCCTGTTGTGGCAGTCAGTCTGTAGAATATTGAATGAGATTTGTCAGAGGTCCAATAGCCACGAGTGGACTCAGGACCCCTGACGTTCTGATGATTGGGCTTAAATCTTTAATTTTCAGTGGTTACTAAAACATCATTGATCCATCAAAGCAGTGTGTTAAGTAGGTCAAATACAAAACTTACAGATTTATAGAGCTATTTCAACATATCTGGCATTTCCAAGCTTTTTTTTTTTAAACAATTGATTATCAAAAATGTTTAGAGCAAGTGCCATGCAATAAGGAAACTTAACAATTGTACAATGCATCTATCACTCAACAAAACTGCTTTTTTGGTTTATGAACAACATAAGCAGTGTAGTGTGAGCATTTTATCACAGTCTTGATGGCGATCATCAAATATCCAATTTTGATGAATGTGAAAATACAAATAACACTTATTTTGAGCATTTGCCATAAAAATATTTAGGGACATTTACTTTAAAGCAATAATTTGAGTGCTAGAACGTTGTACATTCATTATTTTGAAATTTTTTGCATGTTGTAAGACATGGAAAATCAATCTGAGCCTCTCAGCAGAGACAGTGAATTCTCATTTCATACAATCCTTGGCATCTGTACTGACATTTTCTTAGCACATCGGATACTGAATTTGTGAAAAAGCCTGGAAAACACTATTTTGGATAAGTCCAACGTCAGAGGGCCACTTTTTTTCCATCCCACTAGTAGTGATTTCATAGTTAAAATCATACCTAAAAGCTGGAGTACAGGCCTGGAAAACTCTGCTCCAAACTTAAAATAATGGCGAACTCTATCTAGATTCAGTCCAAGCACTTGTTCTCCATTCAGGTTGGGTAATCTGTCATAGAAGCCAATCTGTTCTTTAATTTTCCTGTCTCTTGGATACCTGTTCCAGGTAACAACTATATGATAAAATGGTCGGTTGGTACAACCATAGCGGGCCATTCTGACCACAAGCTTTGCTCCTGGATAGGGCTTCATCTACAACTGCAAGGGAGCATATACATGGATTGTGCCAGATTTTACATAAAAAATAAAATATAAAAGCATACAAGACTACATGTCATGCAGTTAAATAAGCTGCATGTATACTAATAGACGAATTTCACATTCTTAAGAGTTATCTTCCGTTGTTGGCGTAACACTCACTTTTGTCACTATATCCTTTGTAACTTACTTGTAAATATTTTCAACCCTCAAATGGAACGGACAATTTTGACTTGTTCCTGAATTGCCTTAGTATGGGGCAACGTAAAAAACATAATGAACATATTCAAATGGATTTAATTTGCAAGATATTGCCCAGAAAGTTGGTAATGTTATAGAGGAAAACAATGTCCTATGCCAGCTGAATCCAGATTGACCCCACAAAAGGAAATAACTCGCTATTGTGAAATTCGTCTATACGGTATACCACTTGTATATACAGTAGGATATATTATGTATAATAGATATTTTATTTGCATTACAATCGTTTACAAAAAGACTGCAAAAATAAATATGGTTTTTCATTCTTTAAATGGTAGGTCATTTGATTTGATTCTCAGGGGCAGATTTTGGAAATTATCTGTACTCGAAAATGTTGAAATAATCTGTCCTTGCCTGGTCGGAGTCCTCCCCCTCCCACCCCCTCCTCCTCCTCAAAATTAAGTTTTAGAGTTTTTTTTTCAATTTCCTTTTTTCTGATTGTCAAACTCTTTCCTGGTCATCTGGGAAATAAAAAAAGCTGTTCTGTCCTTCACCATGTTCACCATGTTTACTAGCTGCAGAACTGTAACATTATGGTTTTATATTTTAGTCTTTGACCATAATGCTACAGATCCCATAATGTAAATAAAGTGCAATTTACAGCACAAGATTTTCTGCGCACTTTGGGTATGTATTTCGCCACTTTCCAGCACTGTTTCATCAACGACCTTTCATTTCCTAATTCTAGACATATTCTACAACAAACTTGTATATCTTATCCACCTCCTAACACTTTATGGTCATCTCTACAGACCAATATACTCGTTATGCCATCCGACAAAAAATTCACAACAAGCGAGTTTATTGATCTGTAGAGAGGACTATAAAGGGTTAGGAGGTGGATAAAATATACAGGTTGGTTATAAAATATGTCTAGAATTAGGGGATGAAGGTCATTGATTGACCAATGCAGGAAAGTGGCGAAATACATCCCCAAAGTGTGCAGAAAATCTTGCACCGTAAATTGCACTTTATTTACATTACGGGATCTGTAGCGTTATGGTCAAAGACTAAAATATAAAACCATAACGCTACAGTTCTGCAGCTACATGTTCACTGGCATGAAAAATAACCTGACCAGAAAAAAATTGTCTGACCCCCCTTTCGGAATCCAAATTGTCGTTCCTTTATGAATATCTTGGACATGACAGTCATACCAATAGGATAACTTAAAAAAAAAAAATAATAAAAAATTAAGAAATCTGAGGAAATTCTGGCGCAACAAATACACAAATTTTGTCACAACATTATGTTCCGAGATGAAACGTATTAAGATAGTAATGTTGAGTTTATTGACATTTTTAAGAAATAAACACATGAAGAAAATTGGAAGATTTACCTTTGTTTGTTTGCTGTCGACTTTTTTTCTCCTCCTGGCTATATCGTTCATATAATATTTCGTATTGGATTTTGTAGCACTAGTGCGTTCTTCATGTTATTCGAATAATTATGACATGAAGACTTCTTTTTGCGGCTGCCAGTTGGTAAATAACCTAAACTGAACTGAATTGAATATTTATTCTTCTGAATTTTTGTGAAAATGTCATTCAGCTTGATTAAATGACCTTCCATTGGAGTCTTGACAAACCCCCTGATTACAAACTACTTTCTATGTCCAGAGTGTTTGTCCGAACAAGTTTTAGGGCGATCGAACTCTGGGCGAAGGGGAAGGAGGGCGAACGGCGTCAAGGGCGAACAAGTTTTAGGGCGAACGAACATACAACCGTCCTTTAGAAAGAAATCTGACCATGTTCAATGAAATATGGCGATAACTGTGGTAGTTGTACTAAGTTTAATTTTATTTTGATTAATGCTAGATGTTTTTATTTCAGGAATTTCATTCATTCATTCATCCATACATTTTACACAAAGCGTTGTGCATTACTAATAATATATTAAACTTATTTATTATATGTTTAAAGTTCTAAACATCCATGGCCGTAGGAACCGCGGGGGGGGGGGGGGGCAATAATTTTGCCGATATATAGTTTTCTATAAAAACATAGCTACTATATGCTTGTGCCCCCTCAATAAAAACGTCTGATGGCCTTTTTTTTTTTTTTTTTGCTTGTCAAGGAATTTTTGGTAGTTGATAGTGCCCCCTCAACTGAAAATGCATGGCCGTAGGAACCGGGGGGGGGGGGGCACGGGGGGGCCGTGCACCCCCAATAATTTTGCCGATATATAGAATACTATAGAAAACATAGCTACTATATGCTTGTGCCCCCTCAATAACAACGTCTGATGACCTTTTTTTTTTTTTTTTTTTTTTTTTTGCTTGTCAAGGAATTTTTGGTAGTTGATAGTGCCCCCTCAACTGAAAATGCATGGCCGTAGGAACCGGGGGGGGGGCACGGGGGGGCCGTGCACCCCCAATAATTTTGCCGATATATAGAATACTATAGAAAACATAGCTACTATATGCTTGTGCCCCCTCAATAACAACGTCTGATGACCTTTTTTTTTTTTTTTTTTTTTGCTTGTCAAGGAATTTTTGGTAGTTGATAGTGCCCCCCCCCCCCCCAGCTGAAAATGTATGGTTGTGCCCCCTCAAAGTGAAATTGCTTCCTACGGGCCTGAAATGTATGAAAATGTATAGCTGTGCCCCCCAAACTGAAATTGCTTCCTACGGGCCTGACATCCCTATATAAGTAATGATTTAACCCAAAGACTATGGGTTAAAGTAGATTAAGGAGCAGTATATTTGTAAATAAGGGTGTTGATATTTCATAATATTCTATTGGCCAGTTATAATTGGCATTGTTTGGTCAGATATGTCCATTCAGGCGGGAAACCTTTGTTTTACTACAATATTCAAAAATTTGTTTGGTAAGGATGCAGATATCTCTCTGTCTGATAGTTAAAATTGGATATACTTATTTTGGAGTATATGAAACACCCATAAACTATAAGTCAACTTTTTATTAAACGAATTTAATGATAATTTAAACTAATATTAAAGATAATGAATGAAATAAAGTATATAATAAAGTATATTTTAAAAATAAAACATGCTTAATAAGTGTGAATGTGCTAGAGTGAAAGTTCTAGTGATTAAAGTTATAAAGATTGTTATTGTAAAGTAGAAGTAATTAAGTCACGTTTTACTCATTCGTGTAAGATCTGGGTCTGAATTATTATGATTTGATAATTTATTAATCCATTAGGTCATCATGTAATAACTCAAAGTCCTCCTGATCGAGAGATAAATCACTCAGTTCCATGCACTGGTATGTTAAACTCATATTCTTAAAGTATTGCAAATATTTCAGTATAGAGAAAAATAATTTTTATCAATTCAATCTGAGTTTCAAAGAGTTATCGCCCTTTGAATGCGTTTGCATAAAATGTAAAGTAATTGGTCTAAATTTATGAATGTTTATGTGTTTTAAATTTTGATCTTTTTCTGTTGTAAAGTGAATGTGCTTGTCTCTATGTTGTCTGTGTATTTATATTTTGTTATTGTTATTTTAGGTTGAAATATTTATAGATCTCATCTATAAATACCTTATAGATGATACCATCTTGTCAATGAATTTCTACAAGACCCGGTTACAATAACACGGACCTCTAAAAACATCATAGGTGGAATCAGGCGCCATGGAAGAGTAAGCATCCCTTGTCGACCGACTTTTGACAGAAAGTTAAATGACATTCCGTAAAAGTTTTGACACGTTCTAAAACGAAAGCTTATTAGGATAAAACTACAAGATAAAAAGGCATTATAACGCGAAAAAAGCGTAATAATATTACGCAATGTGAAAAGACGTAATAAAGCATTTGTGAAAAGGCTTTATAAAGTGGAAAAAGATGTAATATTTAAACGCGACGTAAGAAGGCGATATAACACGAAAAAGGCGATATTACGCCGTTAAATATGGAGACCAACGGGTTCAAAATTCCAACGCTGTAATTTTTAAAATGTAAATCATAATTTGTCAATTAATTACAATTATACATATTAAGGTTTTTACATGAAATAACGAACAATATTCAAGCTCAAAGTCTATTAAAACAATACAAATCGGGAGCAGAGCAAACACGAACCTCCAAAAAACATCAGAGGTGGGATCAGGTGCCATGGAGGAGTGAGCATCCCTTGCCGACCGGTCACACCCGCCGTGTGCTCCTTGTCTTCATCGGCAAATAACGGAAAAATCCGTCGACAATTCAGTGTGTAAATAATGGCCTAACAATAAGTAAGAAAAAGGTCAGTCAGCATATGGCTTAATATGATAGATTGTTTTTGCTGACAAGATCATTGTATCTTGTTTTTGCTGACAAGGTCATTGTATCGACCACAGAAGTTACGAAATGATGACTTTGAACGAGACTGTTGATATATTCTTGTTTCATCAAATTGTTTGTCAATAACTTAACCTCGTTTTAGAAATTGTTCATATTAGAGCATGCTCTTTCGTATCGAATCAACTGAGAGATATACACCCATATGCAGGTAATAATAAGTAAGGGAAGTTGACGATTGAAAACTTAAAGTCATCATGTCTATCATAAATCTTTGTTGTAAGATTACCATTAACATCTTTTTCTAGTAAAATATCCAAATATGAAACAGATGTGTCAGACTCTGTTGTATCTTTTATTTCAAGCTCACTGGGATATATCGTGTCGACATATGAATGGAAATAACTATTGTTAATTGATAATACGTCGTCGATATATCTAATTAAAATGTCGAGTTGAAGGCCACAAGAAGAGATTTCTTTTTCTCATGTATAAGATTTTGAATAAAT